CTAACCCCATAAGTAAATTTTACAGAGTTGCTTTCAGTTGTATGCACAGATTTTGATAGTTTAGTTATTACAGGTGATTTTAATATTCATGTGGATAATGTTGATGACAGAAATGCTAAAGAGCTGGGTTCTCTTCTTGAATCTTTTGGTCTCACTCAGCATGTGAGTGGCCCCACCCACAGCAGAGGGCACACTCTAGACCTGTTAGTTACAAAGGGGGCGAACATTTATAATGTAAACGTGGTCGATGTTGCGCTTTCGGATCATTTTTGTATATTTTTTGACATGTGTTTCACTAACAAACCACCAGTGGACTCTGCAACTGTACGAAGAAGACACATAAATGAAAATACGGGTGAACTATTTATGGGAATGATAAACTTTGAGAATGCATCGTATTCTACTGTAGATGAACTGTTTAACTCTGTCACCTCTAGTGTTTTGAAAGTTCTGGACACCATCGCTCCTGTGAAGGTTAAAATAGTGAAAATAAGCAGAAGGCGCCGTGGGCTAAAGCAGACTCGGTCAGGGCACAAAAGAGAGAGTGTCGGAGGGCCGAGCGGAAGTGGCGCAAGTCCAACCTCCAGGTTGATTACAAGATCTTCAAAGATAAGTTGTGCGAGTTTAACCAGGTGCTACGTAGTACGAGAGAAAGGTATTTTTCTGAAATGATTGAAGGCTGCAGCAACAATCTGCGTGTTCTGTTTTCAACAGTTAATAGATTAACAAACCCCCTGTTCAAATGCCATTAGAGCTAACTTCCAAACGTAAATGTAATGAGTTTGCACATTTTTTCAATGACAAGGTTCAAGGCATCAAAAACGCCATTGTCCCCAATCCACAGATAACAATCCAACAGCCAGAAAGGCTCTTTGAGCTAACTTACTTTGCACCTGTAAATGATCAAACTGTCCAAGAGATAATCTCCAGTTTGAGCTCCTCCACATGCAGCCTGGATGTACTACCCACTATATTTCTAAAGTCTGTTCTGAGCAGTCTGTTACCTTCACTCACACAGATAGTAAACATGTCCCTTGATTCTGGAATATTCCCAAAGGCCCTGAAAACTGCAGTCATCAGGCCCCTGCTAAAAAAGTGCAGTCTGGATGCTACGGTACTTAACAACTATCGTCCCATCTCAATCTGCCATTTATGGGGAAAGTCCTTGAAAAAGTTGTCTACCTACAGCTTACTAGATTTCTTATAATCAACAACTCATTTGATATGTTTCAGTCCGGCTTTAGACCCCACCACAGCACTGAGACTGCTCTCGTCAAGGTTACAAATGATATCCGGCTGAACACTGACGCAGGCAAAGTCTCAATCCTAATCCTGTTAGATCTAAGTGCTGCCTTTGACACTGTCAACCATGAGATCCTCTTACAGAGACTAGAGGACTGGGTTGGCGTCGCTGGCTCCGCCCTAAGTTGGTTTAGGTCTTACCTTGAAGACAGGAAGTACTTTGTGGAGATTGGAAACTGTGTCTCAGATCATATGGCCCTGACCTGTGGAGTCCCACAGGGGTCGATCCTGGGACCTCTTCTGTTCAATCTCTACATGCTGCCGTTAGGTCAGTTAATACGCAGAAACAAAGTTTCCTATCATAACTATGCAGACGACACTCAGATCTATGTCTCACTGACTGCAGGAGAACATGGACCAGTGGACTCACTCCTTCACTGTATCCAACAGATCAGTGAGTGGATGCAAAACAACTTCCTTCAGCTAAACGCAGACAAAACTGAAATGATTGTCTTTGGTCCCCAGAAACAAAGAGAGAGCGTCATCTGTCATCTACAGTCTCTCTCCCTAAAACCTTCAAACAAGGTCAGAAATCTAGGGGTAATATGGACTCAGACTTAAATTTTAATAGCCACATCAAATCAGTAACATCAGCAGCTTTTTACCATCTAAAAAACATTGCCAGGATCAAAAACATAGTGTCTAAAGCAGACCTGGAGATTCTTATCCATGCATTTGTCTCCAGTAGGTTAGACTACTGCAATGGCCTGCTCACAGGTCTGTCCAAACAGGCTGTAAAACAGCTGTAGTACATTCAAAATGCAGCAGCTCGAGTCCAGACTAGAACCAGGAAGTACGACCACATTAGTCCAGTCCTCAGGTCCCTGCACTGGCTTCCTGTGGCTCAGAGAATAGACTTTAAAACAGCTCTGCTTGTGTACAAATCTCTCCATGGCCTCGCACCAAAATATATCAGTGACATGTTAGTCCCATATGAACCAGCCCGGACTCTGAGGAGCACAGGGACTGGACTCCTGTTAGTGCCCAGAGTCAGAACTAAACATGGGGAGGCTGCTTTTCAGATTCATGCTGCTAAAATCTGGAACAATCTTCCTGAAGATGTGAGACAGGCCTCCTCTCTGACAATGTTTAAAACCAGGTTAAAAACGGTGCTGTTTAGCTGTGCATACAACTGAGGGATTTTATATTTTTATCTTTCGTTTTAATGTTCTGTAATTATTTATGATTTTAATGCATCTTGTTCAGCACTTTGAGTTGCCTTGTGTATGAATTGTGCTATACAAATAAACTTGCCTTGCCTTGCCTTGAATCTGATTCTGAATTTGACCAATTACACAACATTCACCTATTTCTTTACCTATTTCTGACTTAATTTCATCACAAGCAGGTCAATGTCTTATATATACTGCACACTGACCTAAAGTTCTACATTGTCAGAACAATAGTCAAGTTAGAATCAGCTCTTAGTGGAGAAAAGTTCTCTACAAGTGCTTTTCACTAGAGATTTAACAAAGCATGAAAAGCTTCATTTGATTAATTTGTCTTTTGTGTAAGTAGCAGAGAGACTGGTGAGTGTGTGGGAATGGGATTGAGCTGGTTTGGTGTAGATCGGATGTGAGGAAGACCACATCTAAATTCTGTGGGCTTGGTGGAGGTTTGCATTCTACGGTTTTGATTTCTTACTCTGGCACTTCTAAATCAAACCGTTTTTTCAGTCAATATGAGACAACTGATATATTTTAAGAAACAAATACTAGTATTTGTATTTGCTCCAGGTGAACTCACAACCTCAGCATCACTTTGCAGGCCACTGTCTTATAAGTACCGCGCGCTGACCGATTGCGCCACTGGAGCTACAATACATAGAGGGAAACTTGAAATTTCCCTGTTGTCAAAACAAAAATGAATTAATCTTCTGCTGAGCTGCTGACTATAAACGAGTGATACTTGATTCTTTAAAAACTTCTCATGCTTTAGGTGGGGCTCAAACTCACTGCGTTGGAAACACTCTGCAAGGGAAATCCCCGTAACATTGGTTTAACAGATGTGAGACAAGATCGCTGAATCGGCCACATTCAAAGTTTGAGATGATCCGTGGTCTTGGTGGAGGAGTGCTTTTGTAGTTTAAACATGGGCCGCTTGCACCACTGTCCACCATTTGTTCAAAACATCTGATTATATTTCTTGTATCCTGCTTGTCGAGAAGGCTGTGTTCAAATCTCATTGTTTTTAACACGTCATTATTATGTTTGTGTATTTTGTCCAAAATGAAGCTTTATTGCATCATATTTGAGGCCACTGAGTATCCAGAGTTCATTTGAGCTCACTGTCTGAGGTTATTCATAACAGGTCAAGTTTAATGGGTCACAATTAAACTAAGAATAAATGGAGCTTGCAGTCGCCACAAAAAGGATTCTAATGCAATAACTATACCCCCAAACTGGAGCGCTCTGGGATTACTGTAACTAGATTAAAAACCAAAATAATTTTAATCACCAAGACACCGCTTCCAAAGCTGCATTTTATTGTGAGTTCAATTTTTAGCGGTGAATGTGGTTTGGACAATATCCTGGAAAGCAAATGTTGATTTGGGGAGGTGAACAATCAAACTGTGATGAGATGGACATATTCTGTTGTGCGGGTTGGAATCCTTGAAATTCAAAAGATGAAGATGAATGATTGCGTTTGGCAGGATTTACAAACAGTTGAGTTCCATTGAGGTGATTATCCTCCTGTGCGCTTGGCCAGGTTTGAAAAAGATCATATAAAATAATCTACCTAGGTTCACTTGGTGCCACTTGCCAGCCCTTATGCTTTCAGACTGTAAAAGGTTCTGGGCATGTGATGGGCGACCTCTCGAAAAACCATGTGCCGATGGTATATTCTGGATGCCATGCTTCTGTTAGTCTGCCCCAGGGCAGCTTTGGCTATAGTAGTACATAGTCAAAGTACATTGGCTCCATAGTTCACCACTACTGTACATGGAAATACTTATCATTTTGCATACTGAATAATACCCTGGGAAGCACCTACAGTAGGTGTCCACATTCTGTTTGTATTACTTTTCAACTACAGTGTATTTGAGTCAGAATAAATAGCTTGAAAGAAAATGTATACATTATAAAACAACACAATTCAGGTGTTTTTCTAGTTTCATTTGCTCTTGAACTTCCAAATCCCATGGTTTTGTCGTTGACTGTTCATAGTTACATTTCAAGAGTTATGTGTCTACGTCTGCTTTACCAGTTTCAATACTTTCTCTTGTATGTACAAATTCAACTATTTATTGTCTTTCTTTCAATTTGAGACCTTCCTATAATTGACCTATTTCTGACTTAATTTCAAGTATAATAATCTGCTCCAGGTGAGGCTCGAACTCACAACCTCAGCATCACTCTACGGGTCACTGTCTTATAAGTACCGCGCGCTGACCGATTGCACCACTGGAGCTGCAATCTCAGAAGAAACACTTTATTTTATGAATTTATCTGTCATAAAAACAAATGCCAGGAAAAAATGTGCTGCTGAACTGCTGACTATAAACAAGGAAGTGATACCTGCTTTTTTTTAAACTTCTCATGCTTCGAGTTGGGCTTGAAAGAATAATAAACATACATTAATGTATTTATTGATTTCAAATGTGAGTGCCGGACTTATTGCACATTTGATCTGCTCTTGCAACTCAATGTTTTACAGCTGTCAGTGGTCGTAACGTTGTGGCTCTTTGGTCTCTGCAGCTGTTCATCCAGACCGCCACCCTGACCGTGTCCATGTCTCTGAGTGCGTCTGTGTCTCTGGGGATGCTCTACATGCCCAAAGTCTACGTTATCATCTTCCACCCAGAGCAGAACGTGCAGAAGCGGAAGAGGAGCTTCAAGGTACCGCCACAAGTCACTACTGCCTCTGTTTGCTTTGTCTGAACCATGGCCCAAAGGTCAGAGCAATTAGAATCAGGTATTCTGCTAAATCCATGTGTACTTGTTGGCCTAAAAGTTCAAAATACTCCACAATACTGTATGTCAGCAGCTCCCACAGTCCGGAGCACCAAAGCCCCCCACACCAATTAAAGGATACCTCAGGGTCCCAATAATGGAGGAAATGATAATGGGTTTCCTTTTTTATTCAAACTACAAAAACATAGAATATATGATCTATTTTGTAAAGTCAATGGAAAACCTCTCCAATATAGTTTTTTTAATAATGTGACCATGAGTTCTGATATTTTTGGTTCTGTTCTTTGCGAATTCGGTTTGAGGATGTCTTGGGAATATGTCGCAAAGATTGCTCACAGTTTTGAAAAACACATAATTTTAATTATTTTGCTGCCTTTTGTAGGTTGCTTTAATACTCATATTAAAATAAAGGTTGTATATGATTTTAGGTCTTAGATATAGCACTGTACTTTGAACACAATGATGTTGGACAGTAATTGCATTCTCACTCTCTTGTGTGTGTCTTCAGGCTGTGGCCCAAGCTGCTCGGGATTCACAAAAAACTCCCAACGAAAAACAAAATGGAGAGACAAAAATTGAGCCTGACAGGTCGCAATAAAAGCATCTTCAACATTAACAACAGCAGGTGAAAACATAAGTTTGGAAAATCAAAGCTGGAGTGTGCGTGTGTGTGTTTGTGTGTGTGCACTTGTTTTCAACTCCTGGTGGGTTCCATAACCTGAGATTCCACTCACGTCATGGGGACTGGTTTTACGTGGTGGGGCCCGAACACCGGACCCCACTGGTCCAAGCTTAATAATCAATGGGTAATGCTTTTCTAACGGTCCTTATGCAGTCTCTGTAAAAATATGGAAAGGACCCCTGGAGGTTTACTTTCCTGAAAAAAGTGTGTTATGTGTCGGAACCCTGGTGGTGGGTTGCGGGATATCAAGGAGGGGCACACTGGGGCAATTTCAGTCCAGCAGGCTGGAGCCAATCATGGAGCAGCACAACAGAGGAAATCAGGTGTCAGGCTAGAAAAAGGTGCAAGTGTGTGGTTCATTAGGCTGCAAGAAATCATGGAGGAGCACACTGAAGCGCACGCTTACAAACCACTGGTAAGTGCTGACTACAAGTCATGACTTGAAATTGTTATATAGAATGATTACAAATTATTTGTTGTTTGTGCAGCTTAGTCAAGAGTCCCTAATTGATGAAGTCGACTCAGATTCTGACGATTTAACTGTCAAGAAGAAACCTGTAAAAAAGTATGGAAAAAGAAAAATCAAAAACACTTTTCTTCAAGACTCGGAAAGTGACGAACCAAAGGCAAATAAGATTGTTATCATGCAGCTGCAAAAGAAGAAAAATGGGGGGCGAGTATACAGCAAGAGACACTTCTGCCTCTACTGTTCAATGTCCTGCCACAAAATGTCCCGTCATTTGACTAGAAAACATGGAAATGAAAGTGACGTAGCCAGAGCATTGGCTCTACCTGTGAAATCTAAAGCACGTAAACTTCAGTTTGATTTCATCAGGAATAGTGGAAACCGTGAGCACAATTTTGAGGTTTTAAAGGCCGGCATTGGAACTTTAGTCCCAGCTAAACAGCCAAATTCCCCAGTTAAATCCAGTGAGTTTTTGCACTGTATAGACTGTGGGGCATTGCTTAAGCGAAAGTCGCTGTGGAGGCATGTGGCCAGGTGCCGGCTTTCACAGAAAGATGCCCAGGCTAAACCAGGTAGAAGTAGGGTCCAGTCCCTCTGCTCCCTAGCCCAGCCTGTACCGGAGGGCATCAGCAAAAAGCTGTGGTCTTTAATTTCGGCAATGCATCAGGATGAGGTCACGGGTGTTGTCAAAGCAGAAAAGGGGATTCTGAGACTCGGAGAGCACCTGTACTTAAAACACGGGCATGATAAGACTAAGCATGATTACATTAGGCAGAAAATGAGAGAAGTCGGTAGGTTAATTAACGAAGCAAAAACCGCAGGGAAACTGAAAACAATTAAGGATTTCTTTATTCCTTCCAACTTTAACCATGTGATTGATGCAGTCAGGTCTGTGGCTGGATATGATGAGGAAACAAATCAATACAAGACTACATCCTTGGCCCTCAAACTCGGCCATAGCCTCAGAAAGCTAGCAGATATTCTTGAATGTGACTCAAAAATGGAGCATTGTGTTGATGAACTATTTATTAAAAACCTCCAACGAAGCCGGCTGCTTTTTGAGAAGAGGTGGGACGTCTGTGTTTCTTCTGCTGCCCTACAGACCCTCCGGCAAGCCAAGTGGAACACTCCGGACCTGCTCCCTCTGACTGAGGACGTTAGAGCCATGCATGCACATATTGAGGTATGTCGACCTGAATATGTGCAAACCCTAATAAGTGAGCCAACGTCTAAGCATTGGTCTAAACTGGCAGTTTTGACTCTTTGTGAGGTCATCATTTTCAATCGAAGAAGGGAAGGTGAGGTTTCAAAGATGCCACTGACAGCCTTTACCTTAAGAAGTAAGACTGGGATCCATTCTGACATTGCTCTGGGACTGTCCCAACTTGAGAAAAAGCTGTGTCAGCATTTTCAACGCATTGAAATTAAAGGGAAAAGAAGTCGGAAAGTGCCGGTTCTTTTGACTCCTGAAATGATTGCTTCGATGGAGGTGCTGGTGGAGAACAGAAGGGCCTGTTCCATCTCTGACCATAACCCATACTTCTTTTCCCGCCCGGGCGCAGACACCCACATCAGGGGATCAGACTCCCTACGCCAGGTAGCCAAAGAATGTGGTGCGGTGCATCCAGAGATGCTATCCTCAACCAAACTTAGAAAGCACATAGCTACTATGTCTACAGTTCTCAATATGAAAGAGAATGAGATGGACATACTTGCCAACTTCCTCGGCCATGACATTCGCATCCACAGGCAATATTACAGACTACCAGAGGGGACACTGGAGCTGGCCAAAATCAGCAAAGTGTTGATGGCCATGGAGCAGGGAAGAGTGACGGAATTCGAAGGAAAGAGCCTCGACCAGATACAAATTGAGCCTGAAGGTAATTCTTGATATTATTAAAATATGTATGATTTTTTTCCCCTAAAGGCCACTTGTATTTTTATTTTCTGTGCGACAGGGAGAGCAGTAGAGATCCTCTCACAAACGGACGGGCTAAAAGAAACTTCAAGCGGAGAACCTTCAACCATTCATCCAGATGCACCCCATGGTAGTGGCAGTGCCCCTTCTGGTAAGTGTACCAGGTGGGGGATTACAGCCAGGCTGCTTGGTCCTCACCCTGGGAGTGTATATTGCTAATATATTTTTTTTTTCTCTCCCTAGAACGTGTAAGAAAGCCATGGTCTGCATCTGAGGTGAAGGCTGTGGAGAAGACCATGACACCTTTCATACAGACTGGAAAGGTCCCTGGGAAGTCTCACTGCCTGGCCTGCATTAATGCCTCACCAGATGACCTTAGACATCGGACATGGAGTGGCATTAAATTCTATGTCAAAAATAGAATCACTGCAATTCGAAAACAAAATCTAAAATAAAATTCCTTTAAAATAGTTGTTTGGTTTCTATTGACTGTTTTGTATTACTTAAAGTCTTGGTAAAAAAAGATTATGTCTATGGGTCCCATTCTGAACGGCCCTGTCAAAGGGACCCACCAGGTAACAAAAACGTGTATGTGTGTGTGTGCGTGTGTGTAGGCAGGATTGTGCCAAACTGACTTGAGATTTGGTGTGTAGATGGGATGTGATGATCAGATAGATAGATAGATAGATATATACTTTATTGATCCCGAAGGAAATTGTGCACTGGTCCCTTGCTCGCAATCATACAAAGATACACACATAGGTTACCATTAAAAGATGCAAAATAGTTAAAAAAGTAATACATTAAAATCATTCAAAGAGAAGTTAAGGCAATGCAAAACAATTCTCAAGACCCCTCTCTCCCTGCTCCATAGAGGACTCCATTAGGATTCATGGGGTTGGTATGAGGTCTCCGAGTGCATACTCCAGTTCAGAAGTGTCGAACCGGTTCCAGAAAGGGCCGGTGTTGCTGTAAGTTATAATTCAAACTTGAGCAGGAACCATTATAATTTATCATGGACTCACTTGAGGAAGTAGATGGAGTCTGGTGTGCTCCTGCTCGGGTTGGAACTAAAACCTGCAGACACACTGGCCCGCTGACGGCCGCCGCTCTAGTTACTTTGCTGCGCTACCTTTCAGTGCAGCAGTTTTAAGCTCAATTAGCCCTAACTTTAGTCAAGTAAATTCATAGAATAAAAAAACTAAATTTATGGGTAATATTTACTGTATGTATTTCTTTAAACAATTAAAATGTTATACAAAAATGCACATTACTAAATCAAACCCACAAAACACATCTCAAGAGCTGCGTGAAATACATTTACTTGAATTTCTTAAAAACATTTTAACAGTGATGATTAAAAACGTTCACCTTAACAGATGTTTATACTCCATCTCTGTGTTCAAAAAAGTAAGTGATGCCATTGTAGGTAAAGCCACTAGATCAGCATTCTACAAGATATTTGTACCAATTTGCAATACAAAATCAACATAATAATATTACGATTATGTAACAGCATTAACTACTGTGGGTATTTGAGTTTACTGTTTAGTTTTGGGAGTACCAAAGAGCATGGCACGCATGTAGCACTAGCAGATGGATAATTTTAGGAATATGGGAGAAAAATGTTGCCCACTTTGAACATCAGTAATGGAATAACTTTACAAAAGAAAAGAGCTGGAAAGCTATTATGAAACAGTCCCAGTCTACAGAGACTGCAGAGATGGAACAGATATGAGTTCTGACATCTCCAGCTCCTGTCTGCTCAATATTTAACTCACCATTAAACTTTAATACCTGCAGCCTACGAGCAAGGCACTAGGCCGGGGGAAGTCCTGATCAAGTCCATGTCTCACTTAGGTCTTTTTCTGCATGACACCGCTTATGTTCCAGCTAAAGTCTACTCTTAAATTGATTTTCCATGCTATTTTGATTATAGCTCTTTTTGACCAATCACAGATCCGTTTAGGGGCGACAGTAGCTCAGTTGGTAGAGCATTGGCCTTAAGGCCAGAAGGTCGTGGGTTCAATTCCCACCTCTGCACCTTCTCCACCGACTCCCACTGATGACTGCTGTCGTTGTGTCCTTGGGCAAGACACTTAACCCCACTTTGCCCAAAAGCCCCCACTGAAAGATCAAGGCTATGCTCACACTCAGAGAGCAGCCGTCCTCCTGTGGACTCACCACCTGCAGAGGGTCAGTGAGGGGCTGGTGCTATGAGACTTGGGTGGCATCTCTGACTGCCACCCCCCTGACCCAGAAATGGATTAAAAGGGTAGAAAATGGATGGATGGAGATCCGTTTAGGACAATACAAGAAGTCACATGACATAAATATTTCACATGAATGCTTAAGTAACTTACATTGACCATATTACAAATGATGGTCAATGTCAGTAAACTTGGTAAAATCCTCCAGCTCTGGTAGTCCTGACCAAGCCGAGCACCAACAGATGGGTTCCTGGGCGCTGTTACTACGGCGACCACTGCTCCTGACGTAAGCCTTAGCGGCATCAGGATGGGTCAAATGCAGAGGATGAATTGACCTACGGGATCAATAAAGTGCACTTTTACTTTTAAATTTACCTTTGAATGTTAAAGTCGTCCTCGTGCTCTATCCTCAGAACCTGAAATTAATGTCATGTTCTCACATTCCAATATACTCTTCTGTGATCTTCTTCTTGATAAAGTTCTTTATTTGTGTAATTTCAGATAGAGTATCCATAACAAACAAGAAAAGCTTACATTGATCGACTCATCAGGCACAACTCGTCACCTCACCAGCAAACAAGCACAATGAATGAAGCAGTGAAGGACATGAATGAACACGGCCAATATTTGAACCAACCAGAGGACATTGTATGAGAAGACTTTTCACAATGAAAATATTGGACAATCTTGATTGAGAAAATGTATGTGGAGGTTACATTTTTTTCTCATACAAATTATAAGAAGAATGTGCGTGTTGCTTGTCTAATAATTGATTATGTGGCTACTCAGCAAAACTGTGAAATAATGTTACGATAGTTGTTGTATTGATGAATGTTTATCTTGTGATTTGATATTTATAATGAAATCATTATGAATCCAAGGTTTTTTTTAAACAGCAGTTGTTACTTTGACTTTAAAATACATAATAATGATTTTTTTTCTTTAGTCTTTTCTCTCAAATAATGTGATATATAAATGTGTGAAATTATTATAGACCCATGGTTATTATGAATTTAAAATGACAGCAATTATTTTCATATTCAGTGATATCATGTATCTGTAATTCACATAATAGTATTAAATGTTTATTTAGATACATTCAAATTGTTTCATTTATCGGATTGCAAGAACATGTATCAATCATCTTGAATATAGGGGTCAACAATCAATAAATTGATTCAAGATATTGATCATCCATCCATGGCCTGATCAGCAAGGCTCGTCTACACCATAGACTGTATATAATAAAGTCTACACATACAGTCTATGGTCTTCTGTCTTCTGCTGCCACCTGCTGACAAATCCATGCCTTCTGACTAGAACATAGACTGTAACTAATCACGTTTTAAACAAAAAGCAAAAACGTTAGTAAAGTAAAACTCAGTTTGTGTTCAGTGCTCTTTTATGAACCAATGCCATTATGCCTTTAACATTCGCCTGCGGTGTAAACATGTCATGGATCTAGAAACATGTGTAATGGAATCTGTTCGGGCTCGTTCGAGTTTGTCCCTCTGCGCTTTCCATTGCTGCTGTGTGTCTGACAGTCCCAACATGGCGGCCTCCTCCTCTGCTTCACGTGAACTGTTCACGACCGGAGTCCGGGCAGTTCTGCACAATTGGCCCGTTCTACAGGTGAGTGTCACCGGGAGCGGGAGGTTCGACTGTAGGTTTGGCTTCGGGACATGCGAGAAAAGCAGAGAATCCGATAAATGAGGTGGGGTATCAAGTTTAGCTAGCGCCATAGCTAACAATATGGAAGCGCCAGATCTAAACAATGCATGGAAGTTTACAATGCAGGACTTATAATGATGTTTTACAACGAGTTAAACCCATGGAACTTTAATAATACAAATGTACTACTGTATCAAAGTGACAGCAGGAATTCAAAGGATTGTAAAGTATGGAATTACAGTGTATTTGATTGGTTGATGTGTGCTACATTTGTGTGGTAATCTCATACAATGAGTGTTGTTTCATGAAATAAATTATATATAAAGAATTACAACACTAATTTGGTCAATTTTACATCTGTGGATTTGTATCCTCAGATCGCAGTAGATAATGGCTTCGGGGGTGTCTACGGTCAACAGAAAGCGGACTGGTTAGTGGATGTGCTGCAGCAGTATTTTCATGACAATGGTAAGGAAATAATGTTTGCTTGTCATAACACAATTCTGAATGTCTTATGCCCACTTTTATGGACAAGGCTTATGTGATAAAAAATGATATATTGTTCACTAAATCTAAATGCCTTGCAAAATTGTTTCTTTGGATTTCAGCCGACCTTCAACAGTTTGAGGTGGAAGACTACATCTCAACTCTGATGGATCAAGAGTTCGACACAGTTGTAGATGATGGGAGTTTACCTCAAGTAGGAAAATAATAAAAAATACCTCGATACATGTTTCTTTACTCAATAATATCTTCCATATCTGTAGGTGTGCAAGGACCTGCTGCAGATGTTCTGCCAGTGGAAACAGGGGGCACTACAGCAGCTCCAGGCCTCCATAGACAAACACAGTCAGAAAAAAGAGCGCGCTAAAGTCACCGCAGCGGCCCCGGAGTCTGATTCAGGCCGAGAGAGCGACAGTGGCGATGAGGTTTGTATTTACACATTACACATGAATCATAGCATGTACTAGGTGGTAGTTGAAAATTGGCCGTAAACAATTATTGAACTTTTATTACAAAAAAAGCATTAATTGTAATTTTAAATACTTCAAATAGAGTTTTGGCGAAAAAATGTGCATTGATTGACCGAGACACCTATCATGGCTGAAGAATAGGATGCTTTGTAAAAAGAACTGAGTCAGGAACAGATACATGTCTTACCTCTCTTCATTCACCTTTTAGTGTTTGGAATAAATATGCACAATTTATGTTTATAACTTAAAAGTGGGGAACCTAACTTTCTTTGGTTTCATGTATATATTTTATTTGAACCAACTGAAAGAATCTCAGCTGAGTGAGGTCTGATTTTTCTTTTTTCACTGAAAAAGCAAATTTAAAGAGGTTTGAAAACTAGTGATTGAACCGAACTGTCTTGAGAGTGCTGATTTTAATCTTCATCACACAAATTTAGAATGAATAGTATTACATTGTTAATTTTTGTGTTTCAAAGTTAGGTACTCTATAGTGCTCCAGTGTTTGTTTCTGTCTGTCAATGAATGTGAGAAGAATTATTTTTAGAAGCACTAGCCTCAATTATAAGATAAGATCAACTTTATTGATATTACAATGGAGAAATGCACATGTCACATTTGGTATATATAAATCATGGCATATCCAGATCATTTTCATAATTGTGTAAAATCCCTGTACATGTAAAATATGAATTTAACAGGTTAGACTCAATCATAATATCTCTTCGTCCTCAGTCCATGGAGTGTGAAGCAGCGGCTCCAGGCGTCAATGGGACTTGTCCTACGACGAGCTCTGTGTCTGTGAACCAGGAAGATGACGACGGATGGACAGTTGTGCGGAAGAAGAAATAACATCTCAAACTGATGGACAAAACTAACCCACAGTGCGGAGAGACAGATGGATTACTTAAACCGAATAACTACTGAAATCTTTCAGTACTTTGATACCAACTTCGGGTTTAAAATTCTGGAACTTGTTTTCTCATCACAAAATGCAGCCAAGTTTGTCTTCAAGTGCTGAATCAGATGGAAACACAAGACTATACATTTGTTTATGTAGTGAGAGTGAAGATGTTTATTGTTTACCTTAATATCCAGTTCTGGACTAGTAAAGTTCTACTAGTACTAAAAATTCTTTGGACCCAGAAAAAAAAAAGAATTACATGAGCTCATGACTCACAACATGGTTTTCCCACAAACACGTGCCTGTATTTTTCACATACACATATTTTATTTATTTATGTGATAGTTTTTAGAAGTCCTCTTATGCAGTTTCAGGGCTCCACCTTTTGTCTTTTTCTCATGAATGATGACACATGCAATGTTTAATGGAGATCATGAATAATAGAAATCTTAATACAATGACAATTCAAACAGGAACCAAACATGAAAAGATTCCCCAGTTCCATGAATGTGTTTGTTTTTGGAAACATTGAGGTGAACACGTGTTTTTAAATAAAACTATGAACCCTGTGATCTGTCTGGTTCAGTGGGTCTTTGTCATCATCTTCAAATATAATAAAATGCAGTGTAGCTTATGCATACATTTACATATTACTTGATTAGTTGTGTTTGTGTGTCATTCTAGCAACTCATTGTTAATGGTGTTCTTCATGTCTGAAAAGGGAAAGAGGTTCCTCATCTTTGTTCAATGAAAGTAATATTCAAATGAGAATACTTGCATTACCAACTGTATTTTCACTTATACAGTGAACTTAAACCTAACCCACAGAAATGGTTAATACAAATAACTTACTGTATATAAAAGATCAAGTACATTGCACATTTTTCTCTTACCATTGGCTCTATCTCAGTTGAACACCTGAATGATCATGTTGAGATGGCAGCGTTTTGCAGTTAGTACAATGAAGAGATGAGGCTTGTGTTGTGCTTTCGTTCTGATCTTTATTGAAACGTTATTCACACTGACCACACACACGTACAAAAGAACCCATGATGTCAGGGAGCGTATCAAGGCACTGGTCACTCGACGTGAGGCCAAAGGGCGGAGCTACAGGTTCAGTGGCTTCACAAAAGAGCGCTGAATGTGACGATTTTATTTCTATTATACCTGGCTGCAGATGTGTCTAACATCTTCTCTCATTTATCAAATAAAACATGAGAAGATCGTCAAGCATTTTTGACCCACTCATTACATTATGTCCGGTCCATACAGAGTGTGCAAGAAGGGGGGACTCAGGTGGAGTTGGGTCCTTGTAAGTCCTCTGTACATGAAATTCAGCACTTTTGTGAAACCAAGAGCAACAGCAGGAAGTAAACATGGGAAACAAGGAGGAGCTCAAAACCATTGCACAAAAATAATCACAATAAGTCCAATGTAACCATTAGCAGGCAGTAAGAAACTTAAATTCAAATACATTTCCCCCAAAATCCTTTACTTAAATAATGTCAATCGTAAACAGTTGTTTTCAGTAAGCGCCAAATTGGGCCTCAAAAGTCATACCTAAATGTTTAGACAAACATTTTATGAAAATGAACAAAATACTAATATTACTTTAGATATAACTTGACCTGATCGTGGGCCGTTCTGCACCTCAAGCCAAAAACCTCAATCATACCAGCGCATTCACACAACAGGACTGCCATAAAAATATTCCTCCACATATCGCTCTACTTCGCTGAGAATCAATGCCAAATATCTTTACTCAATACAGTTTCAGCTTCTCAAGTTTATCTGCTCATCGTTTCAGTGTCATTACATTAAATAAATATAGAAATCAGAAGCATTGAGATTACGACCAGAAAATGACCTTGTCTCTTCTGCTCTCCTCGTTAGCGTTGACGGTGGTGCTAGAAGTATGCAAATATATTTAGTTTTAATTCTTGATGTGGATTCAATGCTATAATGCAGGCGTTTTTCCCATGTGCCAGAATCCTTCAGTTGTGCTATACACCATCTGCTCTTTTGAAGTATACACAGTGAAATGTTTAAATCCCATATCCTCTGCATGACACCTGCACTTTTCTTTCATAAAACAGTTGGATTCGACGTCTGATACAGCAAATGCTGCACATTCCCCTGAACATTGTGTAAACTGTTAACATGCATTAATCCAGGACTTCTCCTCAGTGAGCTGACGCCAAGGATCCAGCGAGGATCCTGGACACAGGGAAATACCGGCAGTTCAGTGAGCCCTCCACTGAAGGCTGTAGTGAGTTGCTTGTATAGAAATGCATGATTGATTCAGTCTTGGTGCAAGCCTCCTTCATGGGGCCGGCAATTGTTTGTATTTAAATATATATCATATGTTTCCAGTTTTCAGTAGTTGTTACTCCTCTTCTCTAGGGGGCAGAGTGTCTTGTAGCCAAGCGTGTTGTAGACACACTTTTGCTGAAGCTCGTCTCTCTGGGTCCAGGTCTAACATGGTCATCAAAAAGTCACTGAACTGAGCCGCCTGGTCCAGGGGCCACTCGTACTTCTCCAGCAGCACCTCGAACAGACCCCAGGGCTTCAGGGACGAGATGTGGCGCAGCTCTCCTGCACACGCACACAGAGCGTCAATAACAAGTCCAGTCATTAAGTCCATCCTAGACAAGTTCCACTCACCTCTCCTGTTGAAGTACTCCCTTGAGTACCTTCCTGAGAGAGCGAAGGGCAGAGGCAGTGGTCCCAACAGCTCAATAATGTGAGCAATGTGATCTGAAAAGTTTACATTGATTTATAAAGAGAAACATCAAAGATCTAATGTGATTATAACAAGACTCACCTTCATCCCTGGTGTAGTCCTCCCCCGAGTGAGGCTCAAATAGATAATCTCCTGTGGCCAATTCAAATGCCTGAAACGATGAAATAAAAACCCGTAAAAATGCTCCCAACCCAAATCTCCCCCTGATTACATTGAACCTGAAAGCAGAACTTTGGCTATGAGCTCTTATTACACCAATAATTGCACTTGTTGCACTTGTCTGGCCACATAATGCAAAATTCAACAGTGGTGCCCTATGACTCATTTGACTGTCAACAAGTAGTAAAAAACCACTATAATTGGCTGTATTAGTTTTTAGCTGTTCACTGCTGCAAATTTCTCCCTCATCAAAAACAGTGAAAGCAGTCACCATGCAGGCTGTGCTCCAGATATCCGCCGGGGTCCCATACTCCGCTCCGATCAAAACCTCCACGGCTCGGTATTGCCTTGTCTGAATGTCCTCCGTAAAGTGTTTGTGCTGAAAGACATGCGCAGGTGTGATTGGTCAAGCACATCAGGTGATCACAGAGACAGGAAGTTAACTTGTCACTTTGGTTGTACACATGGATCTATTATAATAACTGGATAGGGTATTACTAGCTTGTAGCTGAATAACTCATGTGCTCAGGGGATTCTCGCGGTACTGCAGACTGAACCAGACTAAATTCACGTGGGCTACCCAGAAATTTTCCCCATAGGACTCAATGCATATTAAAACAGCTCGACCTCAGCTGACAGAGAACCTAGAGCTTTAATAAAGATAGGATTTTGTGGGGATTTTAGTGTCCCTTGTCATCCTGAACTTTTTTTCTTCTTAAATCCTTCGGTTTTGTTTAAATCCACACTTTAGTGCCACAAACTCTACTCCTCTGGCTCTCGCTCTAACTCCCGCTCTAATGAACTGCTCTGATTGGTCAGAGCGCGGCCGAGCCCCTCTGTGCACGTGCGTGAGACCCGGTGTGAGACCCACACACGCGTGTTTGACGCAACGCATTATGGGAGATCATCCACTGCGCAGAACCGGGAGGACCAGACGATGCCCAAATACAGGCGAGTTTCCCAAAGTTCTTTGCGAGTTTCAGGCAACTTCCGCTAATCTTTTCAGCCCCCATGCCGTCACAAAGCGCCACTGAGCACAACCATTCATTTGAATAGGGCGCCATCTTGAATCGCCGGGGCTTGGTTGTACATAATTATTGTCACTTTATTGTACATATATCCTGCATGTAACATGTTTGCACATTTCCTCCCTTTGCACAATCTGAGTGTCTCTATCCATGCCAAATGTGACATGTAAATTTCTCCTATGTGAGATAAATAAAGCAAATCTTATCTTATCTTATCTTACTTACCACCCAACACGCATTTCCCAGGTCGGCAATCTTCACTTGGATTTTGTCTGCGTTTTGTGGATCGAGAGGACTGAGCACAAAGTCTGACGCTGTAAAAACTAAGGGGAAATAAGCACAAACGGTAAAGATCTTGTTTACAGTCTGAAACTGTTTATTCAGTGAATTTACAAAGCACAAGAATACAGAGAATGTAAAAAAAAACGCACTCTAGTCAGTGCCATTATCAAACAGGTCTGACCAGTCTGGTACGGGTTTACATGCAGGGAGCTTATCCAATAGTTTTATGACTTTTAAACTATGTTTAACTATGTGATTAATAATAATAATGCATCGGTTTTATATAACGCTTTTCTGGACACTCAAAGACGCCTTACATGTGATTATTCATTCACTCCATACACGGTGGTGATAAACTACTACTGTAGCCACAGCTGCCCTGGGGCACACTGAGACCAGTATGTGCCATCGGCCCCTCCGACCACCACCAACCATTCACACACACACACCAGACTCATTCTAGGCAATGGGGGTGAAGTGTCTTGCCTAAGGACACAAGGACAGTTTGGCACTTTACAGCCGCCCCACTGTGGCTGGTGTTCCCAGAGGTTAAGTGTCTTGCCAAGGACACAACAACAGCAGACATCAGTGGGAATCGATGGTGAAAGTCAGGCTTGAACCCACGACCCTCTGGCTCAAATGCCAATGCTCTACCAACTGAGCTACGGTCGCCCCAATCCAAATCAATGTAACATGTCCTTACTCTCAAAATAGATTGGTTCTAGCTTCTATCACCCCCTTTAAATTCATACATTGTTTGGCCTCATAAAAAAAACAATTCTTAAGATGTGATGGAGAGAAAGTTTAAAAAAGGGGCCGCACTAAGCTAATTAGCTCTCAAAAAGTTCCAAAGTTCCGTTTACTTGTATCAAAAACATAACGAAAGCTTCTTAATGAGGATCAAAATTATGAAGTTGTCGTCATTTCTATTATAAACATGGCTCTTAAAAATTACATACCAGGTTTTCTTTAGTGCTTTGTAAACACAGTAATTGAGCTAGAATTTGCATGAAAATGACAACTCACCATCTTTGCCACTGGAATACCCGGACTGTGTGGAGACGGCAGACTCGGACGTGGCTGACATCACTGAGCTTGAGAACCCCGACAGTCCGGAGGCGGGGCTAGAGAATCTGCCTGGGGCGTGGCCGTTACATCGTTCGTCCAACCAGGAGGAGGAAGACTCTGGACTGGCTTTGTGATTAGAGACAGTGTTGTTGCCATTCACTGCGGTGGAACATGGAACAAAAAGCAAAATGAAAGGAAGAAGAGTGCAGCAGTACTGTTTACAAACACTATGAAGCCGTTGAAATTTGTTTATTGATGGTGGCAGAATGAAGCTTCATGAAGGTCAGGGTGGTGCAAAGACAGCGGCTTGTATGAGGAAATGCAGGAATGTGGAGTTACCAGCGTTGTCGGCCTCATCTGGTTGGTGGCTTTCATCTTCTTCATCCATTTTCTGAACAAAAGCAATATGAAATTACTTAGTGACATTTGTAATGATTTATCTCCTTTATGAGTAACTTCTGTTTCTCCCCAGGAAGTTCATAGTAACAGTAGTAAAACATCACTCCGTTACTGCTGACACAGAACAGATGCACAGAGGACACATGTTTCGGCACAATCTTAATTGTGACAAAATGGAAAAATTGCACCAGTATATTAAAACATACATCCTCTTTGAGCACAAGACACCTCAAGGACCCCAGTTTTCAAACAGCATAATATACAGCATACGATGTTTAATTGTTGGTTTATGCAAATCCTTCTGACTGTAACATGTAGGTCAGGAGATGGGCGTTACCTGGATATCTACGAGCCTCTCCTCTAATAGTTTCTGTTGACGTTTGGCTTTTCTCTTTATCTTTTTCCTCTTGTTCTTGGACAGTTTGCTGCCCTACAGTGGATACAATGCAATATCATTACAACTGAATGATAAACAGTGATGTTGTTTAAAATGTTAAACTATATGGATTAGTAATAATGATTTGAATAATGTTGCTGAAACATTTAGTGACAGCAGATGATCTAGTATGGAAATGACTATGATAATCTTTCCAGAGGAAAACATAGAAATAAGCATTACACTGTCACTAACATAAGTGTGTGATAGTGGGGGAGAGTCTTACCTGTAGGTCCCTGGGAGCCGTGCTCACTAGAGACACACAGGCAACACACAGGAAGAGACGAAGAGAATGTCAGAAAATGTACAACAGGACAGAAAACTAGAGCAGAGGACAGAGGAGACTAATGAGGCGAGAGGATAGGACACAGGTACTGCAGAGAGAGGGAGAACACAGCTTGCACATATAAGCTCAGTAAAACATTCATGTTTTGGAAATGTACTATTGAAATATTATAAACACACATATATGAATTTATTGTATATGTTGAAATTGTACACATTTGTTAAAAATATCACAGCACGTAATCTGCAGATTGACTGCAGATTAAGAATTTCCATCATACTATAATACATCATGAGCAAATTCCTAAACAAGCTCAGTGCAGTAGACACCTGTCCCACCTGAGGAGCCTGAAGGGGGCGGGGCTCCAGCCCGCTGCCACACTGTGGCCTCGGCCGCCAGGCGTCGGATGTAGACCTCGTCGGCCTGCAGCAGGATGTTCTCTGGTTTGATGTCTGTGTGGATGATCTTACACTTAGTGTGAAGGTAGTCCAGCCCCTGCAGTACCTGGACAAGCACAACAATCACTGCATGTTAATGGGAGACCAGAAAACCAGATCTGATAAGTAGTTGGTACCATTCGTACGGTACCTCTGCCACAGACTGAATAGCATATAGCATGCTGCAGAAAGCATATCACTTGTGGAAAAAAAGGTACAGGATGTGACATACATTCACTCGACGCATGCTGGTAGTGAGCTATTATTATTACACTGTAGCTACTGGCTGAAGCAAGGCAACCAATCTGTGGCAATGGACCCTTCAACCACGACCAACCACTCACATACATGATTCATACAAGGCAAGTGTGTTTCCTAAGTGCACAAAAACAGTTTCCCACTATACAGCCTCAGCAGTCCCTCTGTGGCGCATGGTATTCCCAGAAGTCTGCCATCAAAGTGCTAAACCGGCCTGACATTACTTAGCTTCTGAGGTGTGATGGGATCAGGTTTGAACAAAAAGGTTTTGCCATCACTGTTAATACAAAGAAAGCCTACGGTTCTTCACCTGTTTGATGATGCTTTTGACACAGACCAGAGGGAGGCCCATGTAATTGGACTTTATGATCCACTTGAGGAGCTGATGCCCCAACACCTCCATCACCATGCACACATCTGCCAAAAACTCGCTCAGGAAGAACTCAATGGTTATTGGTCAGTATTACACAAACTATTACAGAATGATTTTAGAACTGAAGGATACGGACTCCATTGACTCCTGAGATCTTGAAGTCATCGATGAGTTGAACAATAGTTTCTCTGTGAGGGTCTGAAGGGTCACTGTCTCTCACCTGGAATAGGAGCAACATATCATAATCAATGCAACAGAATCATGTGAAATAAATAGATGCAGGTTTTGTGGGTAAAGCTTACACATCGGAGAAGTTTGATCTCATCGATAGCCGTCTCAGTGTAATGTGGAGCACTCTTCACCACCTTCAGCGCAACAAACCTCTTCCTCCTACAAAGAGTCGTATTAAATCACTCACATCAATCAGTCCACTACACACCACCTACAGTAACACAATATGTTTAAAACGTACCGCATATGGATATATTCATACAGTAAAATACAGATAATTTTCAAATCCTTGTTGACAATAACTTTAACATTTCTATCTACAAAGCTGTTACAGTTAAGTTTCTTACTGAAGATCCCAGCAGAGCCAGACAGTGGAGAAGTGACCCCAGCCCAGTTTCCTCACCACGTGATACCGGCCGTTAAATAGGTCCCCGATTTTCACCGGGTAGTAACCACCTGAAAGACAACGGGGAACCAAAACACAATTAACAGATGACATTAAAAGATGATATCTGCAACTTCGATTGTATTTCATTTGTGTAGGAATACATATTTTTCATTTTATGACCCTGTAGCAATATGGTTACTATTATCCACAGTGGGGTTTCTTTCAATTCAATAAACGCACTTAAAACTGTGTGAAATGTGTAAGAACTGTAAGAACATTCTAAAATTTCAGAAATGTTTTGAAACTAAACTACCTGATTAGTTCTGAGCTAGCCTTCAAACTCATCCAGAATTTTACTTCCAGTTGTGGGAGTAATAGTTAAACTCTGTAATGGTTCATACTAGATTCTCATTCCTTTTGTTCTCTTGATTATTCAGACAACTTCTTTTTTAAAAGGGACATTGAAAACATTACCTTTACAATAGTCTGACGGATCTTCCTGCTCTTCATCGTCGGACCCCAGCAGCTGAGTCGGGGGTGGAGTGAACTCAAGAGGGGGCGGACTCAAAGCAGGAGGGGGTGTGGCCAGCAGAGGTGGTGGAGCCAACAGGGGAGTGGGCGGGGCCAGCAGGGGAGTGGGCGGGATCAGCGACATCATAGGAGGCAGCCCCAGAGAGGGAGGAAGAGAGTCAAATGGGCGTAAAAACGAAGTGGAAGACGCGCAGAGCGGAGAGTAAAGGTGCGACGAGACCGTGGAGGTGAACGTGAAGGAGCTGAGTAGGAAGTGGTCATTCTCTGGACTCACAGGAGGGGTGGGTGCTTTTTTTGTGCCGTAATTTTCAGCAAATTTCAACACTTCTGCCTCGAAATCTATCGCAGATTCAGACCCAATGTAAGACAAGCTCGAGGTCTGGTTTTCCTCGCTCCCACGTGGCGATGACGACAGATTGTGTGTTGACTCGTTGTCAGAGGAAGCCGCAAATTCATGGGCGGGGCTCGGTGATCGGCTGAAGGCGGGGCTTGGAAATTTGCAAGTTGGTGATTGGTCGAGATGTTCTTCTGGTTCTGGGGGATCGGGAAATGGGATCGCTGGATGTTCAATACCGTTTTCAATTGCTGCTGATTCAAGACATGATTGTGGTTTGTTTATAATGATCGACTCAGGAAGCGATAAAGATTCAATGTTGTTTTGTAACTTATGCAGTGTTTGTTCATTCTGTAACTTGAGAGAATGAGGGGAACCATCACGAAAGTTATTGTTCTCTTCAGCTGATTCTGTCCCATTATTATTTTCCACTTCGTGGGCTGACGTTTGGCAGAGGTCCTTATGGTTAAAGATTGTCTCTTCTTCTTCTTCTTCATGGTTAGACAGTGGCTGGATTTCGTGGTTATAAGTCGCTTCATCTTTCTTACAAGAAGGTACTATGATTGCTGGAGATGTACTTTCTTGATTAATTTGTTGAGTGATGTTGTTGTTTTCGTGCTGGTTGGCGTTTTGGAGTTGACAGATCTCATCAGTCCTGAGAAAGTAAAAACACTGATGTTAAAAGACAGTGTCAAATATCAGCCTGTATCGATTTACACTTAGGCGAGCTGTAGTATAGTAACAATAAGGGTATTTTTTATATTCTGTGTGACTTTTATCAAACCCTTCATAGTGTTTGTCTGTTATCTGACACACACATTGTTGAAGTCTGGTCTGCTGCAGCTGAAATAGACGGAGCGGGATCATTCAGGCCAGTGCTATTTTTGGACCTGGTCTCTCGGAGCTACTCCAGTTCTACTTCTACTAGCTTAGCTTAGTTCTTAGTTTAGCACATTCAGTGAGGGAAGGGAGAGTGAGAATCAAACGAATACTCAAGGAAAGTATGTATTGTATTAGCCTGGCCTTAGCCATCCGTACACTCCGCTCAATCCTCATTTCACTGCATGTAACAAAATGTAATTTGTACTATTGTGTGGTACGACCAGGGTAGTATTGTATTAATAAAACAACAATCCTTGTGCTATGGTATGATGTCATGTCAATAATATTTTATGGAGGGCCAGATTTTTCAGTGGGCCATAAGTGGACAGGATACAGTAAGTGCAAAATGTCTCACCACTTTGAGTCGAGTGTTTGTTTATTTCAAGTTCAATGTATATCAAACATTATTATCAAATGTCACTACATCTTTTCTAAAATATCATTAAGTAGTAACTTGGTATAATATCATACATGATTCAAACTCTAAAAGGGAGTGGGAACAAGAGAACTCGTACAGATGTTTTTTTTTTCATTCCCACACAGCTCACCCCCGTCTAACACTTTTAATTTAGTGTTGCACAAAATATTCTAAACATTCAAGCTGTTTCAATAATGATTTTATTACAACAACTTGCTACTAAATTAAATCAGCTTAAATCAGTGATTAATCAGCTTAAATCTTTGTCCATTTTCGTTTTCTGACATTTAAACTACATACAGTATTTTTTAACACAAAGCCATATCTCCAACTCTGATCCTGAGCTGACATTAACCTCAGCGGCTGATAAACCACAACAGTTACTCAACATTACACACTAGGAACAGAGCTGTGGAAAAGAGAAAAATCCCAGTGAAAGCATGTGGTTTGGAGCAGAGTTCAGACATTGGAAGGCACAATGTGTGGCACAGAATAAATACACGTCTTCATTTTCTCAGAGTAAATCTAATTTCTTCAGGATTACTATTGGAACATCCCATCATCGGAAAGGCAAAACAAATCTGTCTCATGCGTGCTCACGTTCTCTGTTAGTGGGTTAACACTATGACGACTTGTTTGTTTGTTAAATAAACTCTCAGCCCTTCCTTACAGATTCAGTTGAGATGAGGTCTTTGTTTGCTCCTTATTCATTATTAGTTCACTTTAATCCCTTACTTAGCCCTGGTTCACAATTTCACTTAACTTTTAACAGCCTTAATCTGAAAAATAATGCTACATTTTTGTTTATTATTCCATTTATAATTTGAACAGAACATTGTCCATCTTTGAGATTAGCTGAGATAGACTCTGGGGGGAAAGGGGAAACCACAATGAGTCATGTTTAAATTTCCCTGCTGACCCACAGAGAGCCCACTGCACATGTATTGTGTTACGGATCATAAATCTGCAAAAATAGCGGCATATTCTGGTTTATAAATTAAGATATGATGCCTGTACAAATTACAGCTTCCATTCAATGTGTGAACTGTATTACATGCATCATTGAGATCAAAGATTGTTCATTGTGTCAGGATCAAGGATCAACAAAACAAAAAAATCAAACCTTCATTAGATATTGTGATTGATGGCTTTGGGATGTGAGGTTTACTTGATCTATATGACATATGTGATTATACTTCTCTGGCTGCAGATTCATGACATTATAATACCATGTTATCACTACCATCAGAATACACTTCTGACAGTATCGACAAAACTGTTCTTTGTTGGTGCCCTGATTCTTTGCATTTGTAGAGGATGTTACAAACTAGAACGCCAAAATGTTTTATTAGTCAAGAAATTATTTGTGGATTATTTGGTCAAGGTTTTGATGTCATGGAAATGTCATACCGCCCCATCTCTCAATCAGATATGAGTGCCATGATCTCAGGAGCAATAAGTAGCACAAACCACTGCATCCGAGTCATCTAGACACAGAACACGCAAACTATAAAACACTTAGTGAATAATAAGCAAGCCGGCTGCATCAAGCGTGTTGCTTAATTGTAGGAAACCAATGATTTCAGTCATCATTGTTAATTAATTAATGTAACAATGGAGTCTGGTTACACTGGGCTCCAGAATATGGTTATGTGCTGCTAAGGAAAGGGGTATAGGTTATGAGCAGTGATGACATGGAGATAACTTATCGAATGTATGTTCATTTTGACTTATTTAAATAAATAATTATTTGTAAACATCCTTCAAGTTAAAATGTGAGATCTTTTTGCATTCTAACAATGACTTGTTTTTGAAAGAATCAAGGTTTTACTTGATTAGCAAAATAATAGTTATTATAAGGACAGCTTTACTACCGTCTGTACCGCCAAACATGCATAATCTGTGCTTAGAAAACAAATACAATAGCTTGGACTAGTAAACAGGCAGAAATCTCACTTTAAAAACTAGCTGGAAATTGATCCAAAGCCAGAAGTTCTTCCCCCGAGTTCATGTTTCTTTATCTAATTGTCCAACAGATCAGTGCACGCCTTGCTGCACCACATCACCCCCTCCATCCAAAAGCGCAAAAGGGATGTTGTGGAAGAGAACTTGAGACGACAGGCCACAAATCACAGCTACACGTGTCTTTATATAGAGCCGACCAGTGCTACTGTACAGTAAGCGAAGGATTCTCCATATCGGAGAGTCACACCAATGGACTGAGGTAGAAGACAAAATACTTGCAAAACGGAAAATATAATGCTAAATCAAATTAACACAGAGTGAAAGCATTAAAATACCTTTTACCATTGCAGGACTGTAATTGAATTTCAAATGCATACTCTTGCAATGTGTCAGGGGGTCACGAGTCATGTTGATGTCAACAGTGAACCATTGACTTGCAGACAAGACCGATAGTTGTTCATAACAACCTGATCAAATGGTCAAACCAGAGCAGCAGACAGCCTCCTACCTGCTTTCATCTGCTTTGTTTTTCTTGTGTTTCCTTCCTCGTTTCCGATGTTTCTTGGTGGGACCGGCTGGGTTCCCGGGCCCTGCTCCTACAGCTGCTCGGTCACATAAAAAAACACGTTTCAAAAGGCAAAACTTAACTTCTAACCTATTACTTCACTTTAGAGGTTTTTAATATTCTGTTTTCACTTGAATACAATCTGCCATCTTCAATTAATTTGGAACTGAAGTGCACCCATGCACAAAGCAACCACCGCAGACATACCATAACAATCATAATTCTAAGTCCCTGTTGGTAATGCATTCTAATTATGAATACATCATGTTTGATGTTGCATTGGAGGTTCACATACATTGACAGTGACATATGATGCCATGGTATGTATGATAAAATATGTATCGCGTGAATTTGGCTTTAATGTTATTTAATATCTAGGATGACGAGTTCTGATTTACCTTCTTGGATTTACACACAGTAAATCCAAGAGTTAAGATTTCTATAATACAATAGTTGATTGTAAGCTAATATACTATTTACATCATTATTATGATAAACATGAAGCTGAAGTGGTGTCCTGGGCCCTCTCATAACAGTGTCCAAAGCCACGCTGCTGCTGCTGCTGCTGCTCAGTGTATTTTTATTCTGAGCGTGTGTCACAACCAGTCTCTGTTCACAACCTGGCTCTGTTAGCTTTAGCTGTTAGCATCAGGTTAGCATTAGCACCAGTTCCTCCGTAATAACCCAGTTCTAACGGGACGAGCAGCCGTGACAGTCAGGGCGGGAAAGCCCGTCTGCCTCTGCGTACTTTACCTATCAACATCCCGGCAGCTGTGACCAGAACCGACCCGGAGCGGAATAAGCTTGTTCCCCTTTAGCCTTTAGCCTCGGTCTGGTCCGGGCAGAGTCCGCCTCTGAGGGCGGTCCAGTTGAAGACACCCCGGGATGGACGCTCTTTAAATCCCCCTAAAGACCGCGGAGGGTCGGCTGCAGCTCCAGAGCAGCGGCCTGTGGGGGCAGCGGTCGGGTTCAGTCAGCTGTAATCTGCAGGGGACGACGATGTCGGGTCTGAAGCCTCGGTGTCTGCTCGGGTACGGGTACGGGTCTGTAGGACTGTAGGTCTGTGGGTATTCCCGCGTGGGTCAGTGTCCGTAGCCCCATGCAGATCCGTTATGGAGCGAACAGCTGCTGACACCGGACACCGGCACTTGCGCATGCGCACACGCCAAATGGACTGGACCGAAGATGGACCAAAGCAGGAGCGCTGTATGAGAGGCGCGTGTACGTAACAAGCACGAGATCTATTATGGTCTGCGTAAGTTATGTTGTGTATGGGCATAATGGCTAGAAAGACAATAGACAAGAACATTATTTAAAACAAATATTAAAACATTTATATGAGGTAATTTCAGCAAAAGATGCAGTGAACTGTGTTGGTTCATTGTGAAAGTATGATAGTATGTGGGTCCTTGTACATGCAATACATTTATATTGCCATGCAATTTGAGGAAATAATGCCCTATTTGGGCTAAAGATCGTTTTTTCGGCGTAATATTAGTAAATAAGGCTCTGACAGCCCATTAAGGATTTTCTGCTCAGCTCAATAATTGATTGAAACCCTTTCAGTGATGTGGGAGTGACCCATAAACCCCTTTGGGATTTGAGTATTTGCAATATAACAACAACAGAAAACAAATGAACCACATGAATTTCAAAAAGAGAGGTTGTCAGAAACAGGTTTCCTTAGATATGTTTCTGTTCATCCATACCATGGATGTATTATAATATCGACCCATACAGACAAATACAGTGGGGGAGTGGCTCAGTAGAGCATTAGCCTTTGAGCCTGAAGGTTGTGGGTTGGATCCCCTTTTGAGACCCTCTCCACCGGCTCCCACTGAGGTCTGTTGTGGGTAAGAAAATGGACGGACACTAAAATGGAGCTAACATTGATGAGGCAGGTCTCGCTTGTCTCATTCAGAGTGATATTGCACTGACTCATGTTTCAAAACGGTGGGTTGGCTCACTTTTATAACTTCAGTTTGGTTACTAAACCTTAGTGATCTCAACTTTAAGCTCAACATCAGGCCATACGACCTGTCATCAGATGACCTGTATGGATATTTACAATATCTCTTGCTTCTCAGCAAGAAGGTCCTGGTCCTTCGAATTCTGATTGGGGCAGGTTTTTTGAGTGGAGTTTGCATGTTCTCCCTGTGTTTGCATAGGTTTCCTCCAAGTGCTTCAGTTTCCTCTGTGTGTTCCAGTTTTTCTTACCACTTCAAATAGGTATTATCCTCCAACTCAGAAAATCTCTAGACTAGTTGCCCTTGTGGCATTGCAAGATGGGTCAAATACTGAGGGCAAAATTAGATGAGGGGAGGACCCTCAGTCTCAAGAGGAGCTCGGAGTGAAGCTGCTGCTCTGCCACATGGAGAGGTTCCTGCTGAGGTATAGGCATCTGTATCAGAAACCCTCTGGGTTTCCCCCTGGAGAAGAGTTCCAGGCCATGTCCGAGCGAGCCCCGAGGGCACGGGCTCCAGAAAGGGGCAAACCATTTGAACTAAAACATACATTAGAAGTACCTCCCTACAATAAAATGTAAAAGACATCAAATAAAAGTTAAATTAGAACTTTATTTGTACAAATTGTGTCAGGCTCATTCCGTTTCACAATGAACACACATTTCATTCCAAACTCATTCAGAGAAATATTTACATTTTTTTTTTACACACAACTGTTATCAAACTGTACACATCAGTAGAAAGCGATTGTGCTTATCCCCTATTTATTTATCTACACATTTCATTCCGTTTGTTCGTTCCCTTGTGAAAAAAAAACAAAAGACAAATAAAACATTGACCATTCAGTCAAGATTTTCTTAGTACAAAACTGTACAAAAAGACCTAACAAATGCAAAGGCCAGAATCTAAAACAATTGATTTCAAAAGAAGCACCAAAAGTAATTGTGTCCACTCGCATGCAAAAACTACAACTACGGGTCCAACACAGGCTCAAGAAACACGTAAGGGAAAACTACGGAGGATTAAATACAGAATATGAAGTAATAGCTTCATTTAGCGAGTTAAAAAGGAAGCTCAGTACAATGTCATTCATTCTCTTATTGCATTTACAAGAGATGTAACACTGTTCAGATGGCACTGTTGAGAAGTTACCTGATTTGATTTGAGATATTAAATCATGGTTACTGTGTTTATTTTGCGCTGGTTGCAGTGAGGCGGGGAAAATACCTCAAAATGTGATTCCTAAATTACAATTAGGTTTGTGCTTTTACCAAATGGCTAAAATCTATTATTTACAGATTAGTTTGGGCACTAACAGCTAAAAAATAACTATCATATATTCTATTAAACTTTCCCATTTCGTAATTGGGGCATAAAATAAATCCGTCGCCTTTAAATAGGCTCCGAGACCGATACGTAAGTAAATTCAGCGCCCCCTAGCTGCGGAGAGAAGGCACAGCAGGGCTAAATAAATAGGACTTTTACAACAGTTATGTACACAATAAGTTACTATAAACATTCGTTCAACATATAAAATTAACAGACTCAGATTTGTTCTCGTAATTTCCATTGGTTGAATTCTCAGCAGGTTTAAAATACAGTGCGATTTTAGGTATGATATATTTTATAGTTTTGAGCGTGTTTAGTGCAAGAAAATTGTGCTGGAAATGATCAGTAGGCGCCTGACTTTTTGAAAAACAATGAATGAGACGCGGCACTTTAAAGAATAATAATCTAAAGAATGAAAGAGTAAATGTTAGTCTAAAAATGTGTATTCCAGATTACACATTAGTTGAAGTATAAGTGATGAACAGCTCACTACCACTTCATACTGCATGTCCTTGGCCTATTTATTACACTTTAAACAAAACAAACAAGGCAATTAAAAACAAAATGCTAGACTTTGATTTGACCTCATTCCACCAGTTTCCAGTTTAGACTTGGTTTAAATAAAACACTTATAAAAGGCGAGGTGGCGCAAGACTCGGGCCAGTCTGGGACCACTGAGAGTTCTGCTTATAATGCGCAAAACAAAACATAAATAATTGATGCGGTATTTTTCAAGCCTGCGCCAAAATTAAAATCAATAAAAGACCGAGGGTGGAAGGAAATGATGAACTTCAGTAGTTTTTGTTTTCATGAGGAACAGTGGTACAGCATCTAGGTAACAAAATACCTTAGTTCTTATATTCTTTTTTTGGTTTTTTGATGCTACGTCATGAGGTTTTTACAGAAATCTTTGATATATTATACTATTTCAGAGTATAATATTGCACAAAGTCACATCCAAAGTATCAGCTCATTTAAAGCACTAACAATATGTAAATTCTATGTTTGTATTTTAATTCTTTGTAGGAACTCCACTGAAGCTTGTCTAACGACCCTGATTTGATTATCATTTAATTGGACTGGCAATGAACGAAAACTGCTCAAATTTGTGCTTTTGTATGGTTCTTTACGCAACAGGCAGAAGGGAACTCTGGCAATTAACTGGTCCCGAAGAAAGATTGTCAATTCTTATCATAGGAATATGCAGGGTTGATGTATTGTGTATATTTGGTAGCATAGACCAACACTCATTGTTTTGGGGAAAATGTACTCTCTCCAGATCTTCAGGCAATTTGAAGGCAATTCACTTTTCCACCTGTCGCCATAATATGAATAAAACACTAGCATCCTGAGTCTAAACATCTAAAAAAAACGAATCTATAAATATTCTCATTTTCACAAACTCAGCAGGAAGACGCATCTCTCAATCCACGGAGATTCTCCCGTCGGTAACATACATAGCCTCCATAAATAGATTTTTTTTCCTCCGCAGATCTTGGCTTTCAGAAATGATTGTGTCTCATAGAACGCAATGGGGAAAAGTCTTTGTGCTTTCGTTGTCCCTGATTCCAGTTACAAACATGTGGATTAACAGCCTTATTGTGACCATTGTGGCCTCTTGCTTGGTCCGCTGGTGGTTGGGAGGCGATGGGCTTGTGGGTGTGTTGTTGGGAGTGGAATTTTTTCAAAGATCTGTGACTTTGTTTTCCACCAAAGCGGCCACCTGCTGCAGACGATAAGCCAACTGCATCTTCTGACCAGAGCTGTCCTCTTCCAGAGCCATGATCACCTGAGGGACGCACAACAAGAGCTTTTACATCTGCCATATTGTCTTTTTTTTTTTTTTAAGTTCGACAGCTCTAAGCTCAGACAAAGCAGCCATCATCTCCTACCACACTACAGACTGTATATTAGGAGTAGACAGAGAATATACTGGAAGAAGCCAACTCTATCATGATCCATAGACCTGAATTTGGAGCCAAATTCTGTCATAGCAACCTCCTAGCAACCAATGAACAAAACAAAAGCAAGGCTGCAGGTAATGGAGGGCCCAAAGAGAGGGAACATTTTCTATTTGCTCAAACACCTATTAACACTGGCAAATCTGTTTGTCTTTATGGACCAATAAGAATTCTAATGTTTGATATTCTTATGAGGCCATTTTACCATTTCCAGCCCAACCATAGAGAATCACAGTCAAGTCATAACATTTACCATTAATAAAGTCTGTCATTACCTGGTCATAATACTTGTTGATGTATTTGTAAAGTTCATGAAGAGCCACAAGAGTGTTCATTTCGGACGCAAAACTCTGAAATAAATAAATTAAAATGTTTAGTTCAAATGGTTGAATTCATTACTAGTTATTATTAAAATGTTACTGACCCCAGAGAGCTCTGTAAGAGTGGAGTTCATCTCCTGGTAACATCCTGACGCGGCGCTGTGGATGTCACTGTAGTATCTGAAATAGAAATGATGATTATTCCGTTCACTCCATGGCGTAATGTTCTCAAACTGAAATCATCAAGTTTCAGTCTCACCTCTCGACGAGCTGCTTATATCGAGGGATTTCTCTGGCGTACAGGAGTTTGTTCACCGGAGAGTCCTGAGTGGTTAACGACAGAACAAATATAAGTGGAATGATCTCGTTGGACGCCTTCAATTTAAACTTGTTAGACTTGTTTTTTTTTTTTTTTACCCGTCCAACTTTGTGCTCAGAAGTGGTGCAGGAGTCGATAAAGGTTTGTGCAATGACCGAGAGAACGGCGTCGATGCTATCGGTCACCTGGACGTCCAAGACAAACTGTGGATTCTTCAAGATGTTTACCCAGAAACGGAGAGGCAGACTGGGAAGAAGAAGCTTAATTTTTAGTGTTTCTTTTCTTTTTAATCATCTTTTTTGCCGTTTTGATAAGTACCTGTTGGTTTTCCAGATGTGGACTGTCTCTGGGTCGTCAATGCCGTGTTTCTCAGCCATGTCGTCGAGAAAGTCAAAGAAAAAGCGCACAGCGATCGGAGGAGGCCGCTTCGTGCTCAAGATCGCCACAAAAACGTCGTCCACAAATTTCTGCAGAGTTCCCTAAAACAAAGAAAATACGGATTTAGGAATAATGCTTTAGTGAAGGTGCTGCCATCTGCACTATTGACAGAGGAATTTCTTTTTCATATTTTGAAAGCTGTATTTCTACTCCACGTTTATGAACTGGATTGAAAAGGATGCTTGAAATCTTTAGGTAGGTCAAAATGTAGTAAACTGAAGAAAACATTATTTCTGTTTATCTGTTTAACAAAAATCATCACAATTCTGTACCAAGATGAGTTTATTTTTTCTTGCATTCTTTTTCTATCGGTATGTTTGAGTTATGAGGTATGAATTGAGTAATACATTGTTAATTATCTAAGTGAATTAACAGGGAAGCAACCCACTGATGAAGAACACCTGGGTTGACATGTATAAACATTTTTTTTTGATTTATCTACAATAATCTGATTCTATCTGCTGGTTCCAAAATGTAACCAAATAAGTATTTCTTTCACCTCTAGAAGAAGCCACAGCTGCCTCCAACAGTGGTGATTATTTACGTGCGATCGACTTGCCCTGTGTTGTGGTCACTTGCCCTGTGCTGTGGTCACTGGCCCTGTGCTGTGGTCACTTGCCCTGTGCTTTGGTCACTTGCCCTGTGCTTTGGTCACTTGCCCTGTGCTGTGGTCACTGGCCCTGTGCTGTGGTCACTGGCCCTGTGCTGTGGTCACTTGCCCTGTGTTGTGGTCACTGGCCCTGTGCTGTGGTCACTTGCCCTGTGTTGTGGTCACTGGCCCTGTGCTGTGGTCACTTGCCCTGTGCTGTGGTCACTGGCCCTGTGCTGTGGTCACTGGCCCTGTGCTGTGGTCACTTGCCCTGTGCTGTGGTCACTGGCCTTGTGCTGTGGTCACTGGCCCTGTGCTGTGGTCACTGGCCCTGTGCTGTGGTCACTTGCCCTGTGTTGTGGTCAGTACCTTCATGGACAGCAGCCTGGTGAGGTAGATCTCTGGGATGGCCTTGGCTCTCTCACGCTCCCTCATGCTGCTCTTCCGGTGCTTGGGGATCTCTGGGTCCTCACTGCTCTTCACCAGGTGCCACAGACGCAGCCCCTCCTCCTCCTCACCCTCCAGCATGGGGGTTTCTGTTAAAAATTAGGTTTATGTCAGTCATCAAATGCATCATCATATATACAAAATGATGATGTACAAAATTATGATGTACAAAATCTCTGAGTTCTAAACAGCCACAGAAAACCTGTACCCTCAAAGTTCTGAAGTAGGGTTAGGGTAAAAAGTATTTTGACACCAGTGTCAAACCCACAGCTACAGTGATCTGCTGCTATGTTGCCGCTTTGTTGTGATGATGTTTTAGTGATCAGCCCGACAAAGATGTGTATTAACAAAATCATCATATATTACTGTATCATGAATCACTATATAGCACAATATGTATTCTTAAATTTGAAGTGTCCTTACTCTCCCCCGTCTGGAAAACTTGACTGACTCCGTTCCCAGCACTGCATCGAGGAATCAGAGCCACCGTGGCTCCATCTGGAACCTGGACAAACGGATAAAGGTTACACATGTTGTTTACTGAGGTTGTGTGCTCTGAGTGGAATCGCAAATGTATAATAATTAGAAATCCTATCCTTAATTACCTTATAGTGCTGTAAAGTGTTGATGCGTTTCCATCGTCCCTGAACAACAGCTGTGACGTCATCGTCAGAGAGAGTCAGGTGACCTGCCTGACCGGAACGCCACTCTGCATAAATGTGTGTCAATCATTACAACATATACTTAGTTTTCTGTATCACCAAACTTAACATAGTCACAGGTCAAAGACAAACTGATCTGTGTAATTACCCAGATCTAGACTGTCGGCTGCTGGTCTCTGGGAGAACGGAGCGCCTTTATAAACCTGGTCCAGGATCTTATCTTTGACCTGCAAAGAAAACATATTATTGTCACAATCTACATTCATCTGGCTAAGTGTTAGCTCTTATGCACATACAATATATAACTCAACTCACTCATAGTTATAGTTTGATATGTTACCTGTGTGATGGTGTCTAAATCCAGAACTTTCACCGGACAGTGCTGCACTTCCACACCGTTCTTCACCAAAACAGTCAGAGTCTAAAACAGATCTCACATTAGAGGAGTGACTGAGAAGAGAGATAAGTGTTTGCATAAAAGACCATCTTGTTTCTCTTCACACATGTGCGTGGGCTTTATTGGCAGACAGATGAATGATGTGGCTAATGAGTGGGTGAAAAATAACATTTACAGACCGCAACAATCACTTTATCAGATGAGATTTCTGAACATGCTATGCTAATGTTTTTTATTACCCTTTCATAACTAAAACTTTCAAACCACAAGCAAATCCAACTATGTTTAATATTATCCATCAAACAGTAATATCTCAAAGCAGTTTGGTTCTATCACTAGTTTTCACATGTAGGTGTTTTTAGCCTCCGTCTCATCTTTAGATCAGCTTTTCAGACAGAGAAGTGAAAAAGAGAAGACCACTCCTGCTCAGCCAATCAAATAGTGACTCCCAGGGCTGTAAAAGATCCAAAGTTTTCCAATACACCATGTTTAAAGATAAGAGAACCTTAATTTTTCTCACAGCAGGGACATTTTGATGTTGCAGTGCACATACAGGACAGTAGTAAGAGCACACAGGGAGCACACAAAATACATGTAAGTAGCTCCTATGTTTCTTAACTAGTTGTAAATGCTTCACTATCTATATATCTATCTATCTAAAGCGCAAAGGTATATACATATAAGGCAGAAAATAAGGAGAAGATGTGACTTTCAGTGGACATTCTGAAATTGCTGTATTGCACATGATTACAGTATTTACTATTTACAGATGAATGACATGTTCAGGCTTTTACTTTAATAAGACTTTTTCTGGCAAACTAAATGTATCATTTATGACAGTGAGGTACCCCAGCTAGTCTGATGTATTTTTGTCATGCAGTAAAGATGTAATGCACACTTTTTTATAATTGAGAATCCCTCTGTTTTTGCTAAGCATGATATATAAGTATATATGAAAAATCCGGGAAAGACTGTCGTGTGTGTTTGGTCACTGTGCAGGTCATGTGTGGTCTGTGCACTCACGACGGAGGAGTATTCGATGTCTTCTCGGAGCAGGTGACTGTCGTTGAGCGTGCGTTTGGCTTTCCCCGTCAAAGAGTCCACCGGCCCTTTGTCCACCTGGTACTTTATGGCTCGATACAACATGTACAGAGGCTCTCCTGCCACGTCCTGCAGAGAAAACACGTGCAATGTTTAGATCTGTACAAGAATAGCACAACTGAATCTTCTTTGAGGCGAACAAGGTTCCACCAACTGTGTGGCCTTTAATAAATTATTCTGAATCTTACCTTGAGGAAAGAATAGAGACAAATGGACATCCAGTTTGTCAACATCTTTTCCACAACTGTCTCCGTCCTGCAACCGAATAAAGAGGCAGCTTCATATTAGTTACTACATATACTGTACATGTTAAGGCTTGATTTGTTGTTTTTAACTAACATTTTAGTCATCTACAATTGTCACAATTAGTAGTATCATTGCAGCACTATTTAATATCACAACAAGCAAACAGACAACATGTTATAACAACTGGTATAACTATAACTACAACTTTTACAGCTAAAATTGGGACTTCTGCTATAGTATTACAAAACAGATACAAGCCACTTGTGTGTACAAATACTTTTACAGATGGCTCTCTACTTACAAACCAAAGTTTAGTTTGATAGTGATATTTGTAACATGAAATGTTCTCACATTTTTTGGCGAATAGACAAAGTCATGATACTGATTTGGGGAACTGCAAGTATTTTCCTGCAGCACTATTTACATATACTGTAGCTATTCACAAATCTGCTCTTATGGACATTTTCATTTTGTTCTAAAGAGTGAAAAATAATTTAGTTTCCGTACCGTCGAAGCATGAGTTTAGGGTTCTTGGCCACGTACTGCTGCACCAGATCTTGCAGTAAAGTCTTCATCACCTCAGTGAAATACTCCAGTTTATCGTGTAACGCCACCGTGAGGAGGCTGGCCACATAACCTCTGTCCCTCTGAGAGAAGCCCTGCTGAGCCTCCAGCGTGTGGATGAACTGAAATGACCCAAAAGGATAAATTGTTAATTGCAACATCACGTTCCAAACTGACTAAAATTATGATCCTTTTTAATCCCAGAGCCTGAAACCAGTAGCCTGACCAACCAGACTCTCTACTTTCTGACACAGGTGAAAGCAGAAGAATGGTTGTGTATTGTGTGGGTCTGGCTGGTCAAAAACAACAGATATTGAACACATGTATCCATGTTCCAGCAATCACATACTGTTCACATTTGGTCCAACTTAAGGTGCATCTCTCAACTGTCCTGAGGGCCACTTTTTGCTCAGGTTCATCACACATTTGTTTTTTCCTGAATATTTGACATTAAACTTAACATTTACATGGAAAACAAAAATTGTGACTTTACTCGGCTAAGCTTCAAGTTATATCTGTGGAGAGGTGAGTCTTCTCAATGTCAAAAATCATTTCTTTATGCACTAAAATCAATCATAATAGAGGAATGTACATATTTTAAATAATACCATTTCTAAAAAGCAGGTATCAGATCACTTAAGAAGCGGGTCACCACCAGGACAGTTGAGAGATGCACGTTTAAGCAAACTCGGGTGAATTTTGGTCTAATGCTTATTTTGAGCAGATGTGAAAGCACCCAAAGTTCCACTCGAAGATCCACTTGTCACCCCAGGCAGTGGACATCTATTGCATTTGCTTCTGAAGTGAAACAACTGCAGTTATACATTTACAACAGGCTCCATAATTCTCACGGAGATGGAAAATACAAAGACAGGACGTTCCAGAAGTTGTTTCTATTCTTACCCTGGTGAGGAACAGCCTGTTGTTGAGCAGGTTGTTGAGCTGCTGAAGGCCCTGCTCCACAGTGACCCTCCTGGACTCTGGCAGGTCCAGCTGTCGGCTCAGCGGCGCCCCCTGTTGTCCAGGGAAGAACACCCTCTCTGCATACGTCTTGTAGTCGAGCAAAGGCACTCCAGGTCCTCCCACATCACTGCTGAGGTCCATCATCTCAGTCATCAGGTCTAGTGGACAAAAAACACACAGATCAGAATGACAATAGAAGAGGAGGTGTTAAAAGATTCATATTTGTATTTACTGATATCAAACCAACACAAAAATACAGTTTTCACTAAAATATACAAACAATGACATATTACGATAGAGATTGAATATTATGTTTTATCAAATCAGATCTATAAAGATATATTCTTGCTTGTGATTTCTAATTTGGTTAAAGCTGTTAAAACCACTACAAATAGAACAATGAAATAAAATGTCGCTAACTAGTTCCTCGCTCTCAAAACAGTTGGATTCTGTTGCTAGTTTTCACATGCATGTACAGTATTTGGTTTCTGTCACATCTTTCGATCAACTTTTTCAGATCAAAAAGTGTAAAAGCAGCTCTCAGCCTGAGGCATCAAATATAGCAACTGAAAGGGATCTTTTGTACAAATATGCAACATCCTGAGAGACAAATGTTCTTAAAATGACTACTGCTTCTATACTGTGGTAATTTCTTTATCATTTTATGGAAGCCTAATGTCTATTTTTACAACTTGTTTGCGTGGAGAACCAAAAGAAATTCTCAGTTTGTTACTTCCCGTTACTTACAGTGGTGGTTAAAATTGTTTACTTTGTGGTTGGAATGGACAGCGGATGGAGACGCCAAAACGCAGCTCTTACCAGTGAACTCTTTGCGACACTGGTCTCCCACATTGATCTCCAGAGTCTCCAGCTGCAGCAGCACTTTCTTATAGTCCCTCAGAGCCTGCTTACTCTTCCTCCTGTAAAACACATGACATCCATCGTTTCAGCACGTTACTAAACTACTGCCTCTGAGAAAGAGTGGAGTACCTGTACATGAGGATGACCACCAGCACAGACAGGATGATCAGCGCGGCTCCAGCTCCCAGTCCGATCTGAGCGGCCAGCGGGACGGGGGGCAACAGAGAGTCCGAGTCATACTGCACCTGACCCAGGTCCACCTCCAGATTACCCATCAGCACCTGGGACAGAGAGAGAGTGAGGAGAGGTCTTCTCCATTCTACTTTTTTCCCTCTTTACGTCCATACTATCAACATAAAGGTGGGGTACCACACTTTTTCCCATTAATGATGCATTGTGTTTGATCTTGTAAAAGTCGAATGTTGTGAACCATGACATTTAGGCTTCATCTTTTTAGAAAAAGTATCTATCTGTAGCATACTTGTCACTATTGGACGTTTTGGCCTGAGTGAGGTTGGTCCTCTCTGTTTCTCTTTTCTGTCTGAAAAAGCTGATCTAAAGATGTGACAGAGGCCAATAATACATATACCTGTAAAGACTAGTTTCAAGTTTTAAGAGCCCAACTATTTTGAGAGCGAGGAATTTGTTTGGATAAAATGTATTTCATAGATCCATTTCTTGGGATTGTCAAGTTAGATACCCCAGCTTTTTCAGTTTCATTGACGCCATTATGATACTAAATATTTAAATTCTGAAATGCATAAATCACTATGTCATAAAAAATGCCATCTGTTTAAAAACCAGCTTACACTTCATTTTTCACTTTCTCACACAATCCCTACATCCTGAAGTATAATTCACTGGGGCATGCATAAAGCCCTAGAGCCATTTGACATAATAAGAGCCAGCCGATGTAGCAGTGCACTTACAGTTTCACAGACAATAAAAGAGCAAAAGTAGGTTTGCAACCAAGACCAGCTTTTAGAAAAATATCTGCACTGTGTCACTTCTAATGTTACTCAACAATTTGAAAAGAAATTGGACAAAGTAAAACAGTGCCTTTAGTCCTGCACCAACAAAGCCAACGTTTCATGATGTTACGATGACTTTCAACGGAATATGATCTAAATAGGGCTGGTACCTTCAGCGTGGGCAGGTCATTGTGGTCCAGGCTGTTTGGCTGGGCCTCAGGAGGCTCGCAGTACAGATGGGTGCTGACTAAAGTCTTCACCTCACACTCCTCATCTCCTAAACGGGCTTTCACCTCCTGACGAGACATGGCTATGGTCAGGTGCACTCCCTGGGGAAAAACACAGGAAAAGGTCTTACACTGAAAAAATGTGTCAAGTCAGGATTTGAAAATCACTTTAATTCAGGCATTATATTGTATTTTTTTGCTAATTTGACCATTTCCAACAATAAAAGGGAATACAGTTTTGTAGCGTACAAGGACATTCAAATATATAAATCTGTGTTATAAGAATGGGACAAGAGCTCAGTATATCTGGTAAAATACTGAAGAGATTGTTTTTCTCCATTTGGATTAGACAAGTTTTAAGCTCAGGTCAATGGAGCTTGCAATATTTGAGGCTGTAATTCCAAAAATAAAGAGTACACAATGGCAAAATTGTGAGCTGAATCACAAAACAACATCTACCTCCACAGCTATGATTCCTCCAGGCTTGAATTTGTAAGGTGTGTTTGGAGCCTCCCTGTTGAGTGGGAACAGCTCTGGGTTTGGGTGGTAAACAAAATTATTACCCTGAAAACAATAAGGAGAATGCGTGAATACAATAATATTAATTAAATCAATAATTTTTTTCTTGAATTGTACAATCATTGTGAGTGTGTCTGTATGTTTGAGATCTGGGACAAATACCTTTATGGTGTCATAGTTCACTCTGACATTGTCCAACTGGAACCACAGACGCTTCACTTTGAACTGAGGGGACACTTTAGGGGTGGGACACCTCATCTGGGACGGTGAGTCCAGGATGCACAACTCTGACACCTACAAACGAATGTCGCAAACACAAATTAATTAATGAAAAGACAAAACAATGTATTGGCGTCAAGCTATTTTATTTCACTATTTTCAATCAACATAGTTGAGGCATTCGGAACATTTATTTTCCATTTGGCAGTCAAATTAAAGTACACCAAAAATAACTGTATAAAAAAAGTTCTAAAGCAGCATCAATAATCATAAAATAAAACCCCTGTACTCAGTGTAAAATAGCTATGATGTAAAACATGAGAACTTTTCCCACATAGACTGGAGCTTGTTCTGACCGTAGTGAGGGAGCTGTTGAAGCCCTGCTGTTTGGCGTTGAGCAGAGCCTGCCTCCTCCTCTTCCTCTTCACTTCTCTCTGCGTATCTGGCTCCACCCACACCTCCACCAGGGGGCGCTGCACCACGTCCAGGTTACTGCCTTCCACCAGCAACATTCTGCCGCCACTGTCAAACACAACATTTAGACATTAGAGCCTCAGTATTCTAAAGACAGAATACTGAGTGAACGTGAAGAGCCACAATGTTGAAGAGTTTCTGAGAAGAAAGTGCTTCATGAACCATCTCGGACTCTGAGCTGCACCGAGTCTGGCCAAAGACGTTTAAATCTATACTTTCAGATTTCAGCCAAACAGACAACATTTCAATGAAAACAACCAGGTGGAAGCCCTCCTCCATGACAAGGACAGGTCAAGTTTATGGAGATTCTACTGTCCACAAATAAATAACAGAAATTAACAACATTTATTCTCTTGTATGTTATTTTAGATTTGAAAATCACGGCATTGACTTTGATTTATTGATTTATTTTATTATCTAATATCTTCAATAATAGATCCTAATCTTATTTTAATACTATAATTATTGTCACAACACTAGAACTGCAAAATCGATTCTGCAACCAATTTTGATACCACAGTTTACAATCTAAAAAAGTTGCATGCAATTTCCAACTTTAATAAGAAGACAACCTTATAGTGCTCGCTACACATGGTTTTATACTAGTGCTAGGATCAAAATCATTCACAAACTACTCACATTTTTGTCCTGTTTGTAAAACGTTTTTTCAGTATAGATATTTTCTCAAATGGGCACATAAGTAGTAAGTAAGTAATCTTTATTTATATGTCTGATGTGATTTCTCTGACAACCCCAACCACATTTCTGTACATACTGCTTCTTCTACTTCTAGTACCGTCATGGTGAGTTCTGTGATATTGCAACTTCTACAGCCACAATTTCAATACAATAAATAAAATAATACAATCAATACTAATGTTTTGTGGCTTTTTATCGTGTGTGCTTTTGTGTGGTTTATCTTGTCTTACGCTTGGTAGCTCTCTCCAGGCTGCACGTCTGTGATCCGTGGGTCGTCCATGTATTTAAAGGCTCCGTTTGGGACATTCCTCTGGGCACTCCCAAAGAACACGGACACAGACACCCCTCCAGTTCTGTTGGAGGGTTCGCTCTGACACACGAGCTGCGAGTCCGTCACCTCATCCACTCTGAGCACAGCAACACGCAAGACATGAGGAAAACACAAAACGTAAGAATAACTTTTTTTTCTTTATGTAAAATCTTTTAAAACATGTGGCATGAGATCTAAACTTCACAATGACGAAATAATACATAAACTACTGCTACTTCTACTTCTATCTTTTGCATGCTAAGAAAGAGCCCTGTGAGTCACTATTAGACAATTTGGGCTGAGAGCCGATCGGTCCTCTCTTTTTTCTTTCGATTTTTTTTTTTTACTTTTGGCGGTCTTTAGCTGCCAAAAATACATGCATGTGAAAACTAGTGATTGAAGGAAATGGACATGACATTTCAATAGTAGTTCAATGGCATTTTTTATATTTAATTACAGTCTAAATAACAAGGCATTTTAGTTATTCCCCCTATGGGATGGATTTTTGGATAAGATCAATCTAATTAAATAACTCTTGTTCCAAACACATCTAGAAATCATGCAACAAAATCATGGTATTAATTGATTGTGACTCACATGAAGCAGGGCTTCAGTCCAAGAAAGGCCTGCAGGTCAGATGTTTGCCCCGTGAGCAGCTGGCGCCCTCTGATGGTGACACGAGTACCCCCAGAGACAGGCCCTTTGTCTGGAACCAGGCCCAACAACTGGGGGTCCTAATGAGGCCAAAGAAAACCGTTCACAACACATTCTTGTAGATATAGAATTAGAAATGGAAAGGATTTCTAAAAACCTGATAAGTGAATTCCTGAGTAGAGCGGCCAGATGCAGATGGTCCCACTCTGATGAGGACCGGACCTCTCTTTGGTTTCCCACTGGGCTGCAGCTCACACACCACCCTTACACAAAAAACCCCACTTATTTACTATAATACAGTCTTATTTATGAGGTTTAGGTTCAAAAATCAACAATTAGAGATGGGTCCCTGGGGGGTTGTAGTACAGTGACCACTGCACCTGACCTGGGCTAGTGGCATTACAAGATGGGTCAAACGCAGAGGACAAATTGAGGGGCCAAAACAGAATGACTTAACTTAAACCCCCACTGGTATCATATTGGGTATTGTCAGATATTAAAAATTTAAATTTTGTATTTGACATGAAAAAGATGGATTGGTGCATCCCTAATTTTTACCACACACAATTCAGATATAATGCAACAAAACTACTTCTAACACCAGAATGCATTTAAACAACTCCTAACTCTGTTCTACATTGTCTTTTCCTTGAGTAGCATGTGATTTGTTTTTAAGTTTGCATGTGCTCTCATGTGGGCACTTCAGGTTTAATTCATTCCTTGGTTGTTTACCTGGTGGAGATGTGATATCCTTCAGCCTGAGCCACACAGTCCACTCCTGCCACAGAGATACCTCCCTCCACGTCTTCAAACTTCATGCCCAGATTAGATCCCGTTATGGTGAGCAGTATACTGCCCTCTAGTGGCCCTGTGACTGGAACGATCTACGACAATACCTTTGGTTAATTCAGAACTATTATTCTTACAAACAGGTTTAGTCATGATTTACCTGAGTGATGGCAGGAGGGGGACAGGTGTCGGACGCCACGCTTGAACATGATTGGTTGAAGACGCAGCTGGGGGCGGGACTTCCTGGGCACCACACACAGCCGTACTCTGGGGGCACGGCTCGGCACTGGGAGCAATCTGATTGGCCGGCCGAGCAGTCATAGAGCTGCACTGGAGACGGAACAGAGAAGTTATTAAGTCTCCAGTGGTTAAAACGGTTTGTTTTTGAGGTTTCTTTCGTACGTGTGAGTCCTGGGGAGGCATCGATGCGTCGCTGTCCACGTCTTAAAAACACAGCAGCTGAGTATTGTAGTTCAGACACTTCAAACTGAAACTAAAGACAGACAACATTTAAGAATAATATGCATGATATCAATCCTACGATTTAAACAAATGTCCTCTTAAATGTACAGCACAACAAACATATAAGTTTGAGAGAATTTGAACACGTTTTCATTTCCAAGAAGTCATAAAGAGCACTGAAACAGTGTTCTATTTGGGGTGAAAGTCACAGCTGTTTACCTGATGGGGGCTGCAGGTGAAGGTGTGCGTGTGGTCGTCTGTTTTCTGCACAGACGCTGACAAGTTGAACTGAACTTCTTTTACTTCAACCACACACATGTAGTCGGCTTTATCCTGCATAGGAATAAAAGAGCATTATCCTACAGGGAAATATATCTGAGAAACTTGAGTAAGATGCCTTTGATTTGTACAGGAGACAGTAGTAGTAGAAGTAGTAGTAGAATTAGCAGCAGCAGCAGTAGTAGTAGTAGAGGTAGTAGTATTAGTAGAAGTGGAGCAGCAGTAGTAGCAGCAGTAGTTTTAGTATTTATTTATTTATTGTTTATTTGGTTGGGACAGTACATGTTAATGAACACATCACTCTGGATGTTTGCGCCCGTTGTCCCACATTCACACTCGCAAACACACACTCTTTCACCCTGAACTATTGCACTTGTTTTTAGTACTAGTAGAATTAGCACCAGCAATTTGTCCCACAATGGGGAAATCTCAGTTTGATGCATACACATACATATACATAAACACATCAAGGCAGGCAGAGAACATCACTTCTGTGCTCCTTATAGGCAAAGTGGGTTAAGTGTCTTGCCCAAGGACACAACGACAGCAGACATCAGTGGGAGTCGGTAGAGAAGGTCTCGTGGTGGGCTCAAACCCACGGCCTTCGGGCTCAAAGGCCAATGCTCTACCAACTGAGCCACGGTCGCCCCAAGTAGTAGAAGTAGTAGTAGTAGTAGATCAGCAGCAGAAGCAGTAGAAGTAACAGTAGCAGTAGAAGTAGTGAAAGTCTTAGTAGCAGTAGTAGTAGCAGCAGTATACAAGAATTTGAACAAGCAAATTCAGAATCAGAATAAGCTGCCTATTCTGCAACATGGAACTTATAAATAAATTCAAACAACATACATTCATTATCCTGAAGCTCAATGTTCACTGCGTGTTTCCACTAATACAGTACGTGAAACAACGTAGTAGCAGTAATGTTTAATATCTGACCGTGTAAATGTCGAGGTTCCTGCCCAACAGAACGACTGTGGTGGTGAGACCCATAGGCACGAGAGCTGGACTCTGCAGAGCGTAGACCAGGGGGCAGGAGGACGGGCCATTGCCATTCTGACAATATCACAAAAGTTAAAAACAGTACTAAAAATAATACTCCACAAAAGTTCCCTGAAATGGTCAATGTTGCATGTTTGGCCAACTGAATGTGAATGTTGGAATATTGGTGCTAATGCTTTCTGACACTCACTCTGTGGTTGAGGATGGTGTGATGGTGAGGGCAGCTGGAGATGTGAGAGCAGAGCTGGTCCAGAGGACACCAATTACAGCCCCACACGCTGGAGACACACGACAGGCACCTGGGGAAGGGATTACAAACATATAAGGTTCATGAAAGTATCAGCAAGAAACGCCTGGGAGCTGCCTCAGTCCTGGATCTATGGCCTGTTTCGTCTGTGGGAGCAGATTCCTCCCTTAATGTGGGCCTCGTCGAAGTTTCATTTTTATCTTCCACTGGGTATTTAGAATTTTTCCTTGTTAATGCAGGAGGGTCCAAGTACTGTGGTGATGATCCAGGACACTTGACATTCAACAAAATGTATGGAGTAACATTTATGCACATTGGTCATCTGTCCCTTATGGACCAATGGCTCTGTGTTTTTTATCATTGCATTTCTTGAATCTGATCTTTCTCTTAGCTGCATTGGCAAGTTTGATGGTTTTATAAAGTCCTCCGCAATAACTACTGTTGTGATTTCAATCCTACGATTTAAACAAGTGTAAATTGAATTGAATTTAGAGTAATAAGTATTTACAGGATATGCAACAGGGCTGTCAAACTCATGCACTGCAGTCGAATAAAAAACAAAGAGAGCTTGTCAAGGGCTGGAACCTGATTAGGCAGGAAGGCTTTTATGGTAGGGTAGACACTGTGGAAAGTGTGCTTGTTTGTAGGTCATATTTTGAAGTTTTTTTGCAGCTCTCTTCTTTTCTGCCTTCCCCAAAAGTCACTTCGCGGACTTCATATTCTCACCAGAAATCCCTCATCAGAAAACATCACCTAAAATAACAAAAATAACTCCCCTGGCTTCCAGTTGAATTTAGAAAGCTCACTATCCTTTTCGATGAGGTCCTGGCTGATTTCTTTGGATTTTCCATCAGAGGAAACACAAATGGGAGGGCGACAGTAGCTCAGTTGGTAGAGCATTGGCCTTAAGGCCAGAAGGTCGTGGGTTCAATTCCCACCTCTGCACCTTCTCCACCGACTCCCACTGATGACTGCTGTCGTTGTGTCCTTGGGCAAGACACTTAACCCCACTTTGCCCAAAGCCCCCACTGAAAGATCAAGGCTATGCTCACACTCAGAGAGTGAGGACGGCTGGTCCTCCTGTGGACTCACCACCTGCAGAGGGTCAGTGAGGGGCTGGTGCTATGAGACTTGGGTGGCATCTCTGACTGCCACCCCCCTGACCCAGAAATGGATTAAAGGGCAGAAAATGGATGGATGGATGGAAACACAAATGCAAACGCTTGAGTTCAGCTCTAATCGGATTTGGAATTTTGTTTATACCTCATTCTTTGCTTCTGTGGCAGTATTTAATCATTTATTTGGAGGTGTTTTAAACCAGTTATGACTTATAGTTAAAAAGAGTTTGGAGAGCAGCAGCACCCAAATCTTCACCACTCAAAGAAGAGATGGGTGAATGTCTCTCTCCTATCACACAGAGATAGTGATGGTAAAAGCAAATACTAAGTTGTTTTTGTAGCAAAGGCTGTAAAAATATGATATAACTAAATACAATACAATACAACTTATTCTTGTATAGTCCTAAATCACAACAGAAGTCAACTCGGAGGACTTAACAAAACCATTGAAATCACCAACACAGATCAGAGAATCAACAGTTAAAACATAAATGTACACTCATGACAGGCGGGTCATATATCCCATTCTTACTGTGAGGTCATGTTGTGACGGCTCACGGCTCCACAGTCATAAAAGGTCAAGCTTCCTGTGGTGATGGTCACGTTACCAAACTTCACGGCCACCGGCAAGTTCATGTGATCTGTGCGAGGAAAGGGCAAGAGTCATTGATAGATGCAGTAATAGAAACAGCATAGCACAGGCTTAATGGAGAGTCCCTCTAGGACCAAGATTATTGGAAACATGAAAGCGCTTTATTAGCGTTGATTTTACACATAAATAATGAGCGCATCGTAATCATTGTAATAACTATGTGCTAATAATGATTAGCACATCGTCACAGCGCAGCATCATCATCTGCATAAGAGGTTATTTATGTGACCTCTCACACAGTCTTTTGTGAGCAGTTTGCGTCGGATTCATCAGTTTATTATTCATATCTTCCATCAGTGGGGCAGTTCAGTTGACCAAGAATTAATTTGGTTGACTAAAGGCCTACGGTTTAGGAAACATCATGTTCTGCCATTTCGGAAGTAGAACTTTGTTTTTGTTTAAGGAGGAGGCTTTATCACATCCAAAACACGTCGGTCACAAGTTTACACTCTACATCCTCTCAAACAAGCCTCTTATCCAAACATCATATGTGTCATTATTTTTGATACATTTCCTTTTTTTTGATGACTGCTGTCGTTGTGTCCTTGGGCAAGACACTTAACCCCACTTTGCCCAAAAGCCCCCACTGAAAGACCAAGGCTATGCTCACACTCAGAGAGCAGCCGTCCTCCTGTGGACTCACCACCTGCAGAGGGTCAGTGAGGGGCTGGTGCTATGAGACTTGGGTGGCATCTCTGACTGCCACCCCCCTGACCCAGAAATGGATTAAAGGGTAGAAAATGGATGGATGGATGGACATTTCCTTTTTACTACATCTGTAAGCTCCATATAAGCATGTGAACAGTCCCACTCGCTCACCTTTGTCTATGGGAGTGGCTGGAAGGAGGCGGGGCTCAGGTGATTGACAGGTGATAGTGTTTTTTGTGATCTGGGCGGGGCTTGGAGGCAGCTCTCCAAACTCACAGGAGAGCGTCTCTGAGGAGGAGAGAGAAGGCAGCTGCCGCACGGATAAGGCCACCTGGGATCAGAACATGACTGATTATAATACAGTCCATATTAATCAAAAAATAATAATATGTCTTTACTGTTCTAACTATAACACAACTCGGCCTTTAAAAAAAATGTCATAAAATAAAACATTTAAAGCTCAAAATATTTAACTTTATCACAGCAACAATCCACTAGTTTTGAGTATGGACATGTGCGGGCCTTTTGTTCTGTGTCTGTATAGATTTCCTTCAGATGCAATAGTTTCCCTACAATTAATAACATTAACAATAGGCAGCTCCTCCCTGAAAATCTCAAAAGGCAATCAATGTAGATTTCAAATTATATTTCCAAGGAATTATGCAGGCGCCTTCCATACAGTTGATTTACAATAACAACAAATTCATTAAGTTACCATAGTCTGTGTATCTCTGCTCTGATTGGCCGGGTGCAGCCTCTCCACCTTCACACATTCATCCATTTGGCTGTAGCTCCAGAGCCAGTGGTTGAGCTGTAGGTGGCGCTCACACTCATGTTTCCTGGTGCATCTACAGCGCCAAACATGAGAGAGGTCAGCGGTGAGGAAGGACTTCTCAGATTCTCTATTTGTTATAGATTTTAGATAAGGTAAATGAAAGCATTGCAAATCATGTCCTTACCTTCCCTGCAGTACACACCAGCCACAGTAGGGGTCGCTCATGGACAAACAGGAGTCACAGTCCGTCTGCAGCTCACAGGAGGACACCGACACTTTGGATAACTGCAAAAACACAACAAATATGTCATCAGAGCATTATAATTATAATAGTCATTATGCAGTCTCTCTAATGTGAATGAATACAGTTACAGCAGCTGCTACTATACTAATGGAAGGCCTACTCCAACAACAAGGAGGGGAGATGATACTATCAATATGTTTTTGCAATATTTCTATAACAAAGCAATCAAACCACAACAATGAACAAAAATTACATGCATGTTTGAAAGATTATATTTCAATTTTTACTTTGTATGGTATATGAACAGAGTCTATAGGGTACCTGAAGCTAAATTAAATATTTTTTTTCAGACATTTTTCAAAGACCTGCTCAAACTATTACAAAAAAAGAGCCTTATACAGGTTCTCCATGCTAAAACACATAAATGTTCTCTTATTTCATCTTAATCTGCGGTGAAGCTGCGGTCACTCACCCGGTTGTGTGTGAGGACGTAAACGTGCTCCTGTCTCTGGTCCAGCAGTAAGTCCGCGTTGACCGGACTGTTGGGATGCACCGGGACCGAGCTGTAGAGGTGTCCAGAGCCGTCCTCATGCACCAACACCTGGACCACACAAACACCATGGCTCAATACAGTATCACTATGACTAATGACACTATGAATATCGTGAGAGAAAATATATATATATTATTGGCCTTAACAAACTTTACCTTTCTTTCTTTCCCATTTATTCCCTATTTTTCTTTTATTTGAGATCATCTTTTGGAATCATACTGTCTAAAAATGATAAAGTGCAGTTAATGTGACAACGCTCTAACTAAACTTTTTGTTGAAATTGAGATAATGGAACTTTTCAAATGATCTTTTGATAATCCTAATAAATTTGACATAATATGGAGATTATATTAAGATTAGAAACACTTTGGAATGTAAGATACACAATGCTTTTTATTATTTATTAAGGACTTAATTGAGGACTATATTCATCCACATGATCTTTTAATAGCTGCTCTGGTAATTTGTATGTTTACAAGAATCCAATCTATTTCTGCAGAAGCTATTCTTATTAATATAATAATGTAATTTTGACGATGGCTGCATTCAAATTCATAATAATTCATACCCTTTCCTTCTCATTTTTATTGAGCTTTGTGGATCAAAAACATCTTTAAAAGGTGTTTAATTGCACTTGACAAAACCTGGAGCCGCCCCGTTTCATAAAATGTACATTTTAAAGCACACAAAAGGATTAGAAAGAAAAAGGAAGGATGTATTTTTGCTTCCCAATGTATAAAACTGGTTACTTAAGCCACAAGAGGGAGCTGCACCATTGCTTCATTACTGCACATGCACAATCAGCAGATAAAACTGGCAAGTATTCACAAATGTGTCAAAAAGAAAACCCAAATTCAATTTCAAAGGTTATGTAAATTGTCTTAGTTCAGTAATATTAGAAGAAGACCAAACCAGAGATCAAGCTGCATAACATTTCACATTCTCTTTTATGTTTATGTCCTAAAGCTATTACATTCACAAAGCTTCCCTGAGTCGTCCTCGTGAATGCCTGAACCAGGATTGACATCAGCTTTAAGACCAGTTTTTATTGCAACTAAATATCAAAGAGAAGTAGCTCAAAGGGAACAACGTGATCACACCAAGACTTAACAGACCAAAATAAACATGTATTCTTCCTGGAACAGACGGTCACATGTAAGAACTGATAACAAAACTGTAAAAACTATGACTGTTGCATATTTTCTAGAGCTTATCTTACCATAAACAGCAATAGTCACCCACTTACTTCCTTTAATCCTGTGGACGTTGGTTTATCTGTTTGCCAAATACTGTTTTAACTGTTCAATTTTATAATCTGACTAATTACGTCCTTTAAGTCAACTGCTGTTTTTTCACCTGCACAAAAAATGATTTGAAGGATTTTGCCTCACAGACCTGTTAACGCCTTTTCATACAATGTAGAACAAGCATAATCAGAAAAGAAGAAACTATGTTAGTGCTGAATTAGTGTCTTTAATTAAGTCTATAAAGGAACAGGGCCTTTCTGAGTGGGGTTTGCATGTTCTCCCCGTGGCTGCGTATGGTTTCCTCTGGGTGCTCCGGTTACCCTACCACTAAAAACATGCACAATAGGTATGAATGTAACTGAGAGAGTGGATGGATAAATGGAGAAAATATCTTTACTGAAACAAAAATGTGAGAAGTGTTGTTGATTGGGGGCTTTGAGGCACCAGTGTGTTTGGCGTCTCGCTTCCGTCATCACCGTGTGTGGAGTGATTGGAACAATATCTGAACATTGTAAAGCGCTTTAGGTGACCTCGGTCTGGATAATGCGCTATATAAATAAACATTACTTACTTTCTTACTCTCTATAAGTCACAGGACTCTAACATTCGTCTTGGGAAAATGTACACATCATAATTATTGAGGTTCAATAAACTATGGTACAAATGCATCATTTATGGAAATTATTGTAACCTTCAATAAATCACATACCCTTCCTGTGACAAGACCCCAATTTAGACTGCACCCAGGTTGAGTTATGGCTCAGATGCTCAGACAGTTTCCTCCTATTCTCTGGAATGGTGTGTGCATGTGTTTCCCGTGAAACTGATGTTTACAAGATATAAGAGTATGACGTATGCAAAAACAGACTCTTTTTAGTGTTGCTCCCAAACTGGCCTGACTGCTCTGGTCCGAGTCTACAAGAAGTTTATCTGTTTGATCAGACAGAGCCTTGTTATGCTTTCAAAGACGTCTTGTAACTTTGTCTTTGCACTCAAACTTTGGAATGGTCACTGTCAATACAAATGCTGTTTATGCACCGTTTTGGCAAATTAGGCAACATCTTGTTTACTTAAAGCATTTGATTTTCATGATGCAGCACAAACTATTAGGCCAATTAAGCGTACCATGTCTCCTGCTCTTTACACAGAAAACAATGAAACACATGTGGCAAGGAACATCAGCTGGCCCTGTCTCAGTAGTATCCGGTTAATGTAGTGGCATACCAGCATAAAAACAGAGTGGAAATGTTTTGATCCAGTTACATCAAACGGATCCGGTTTTCACTGGTGCTTTGTTAATTTACTCATTGTGGCAGAGTGGTGATCCATGAGTTTGTGGGTAAAACTCCTTATCCCTGTGATAGGAGTCATGTTTGAAATGCAACTACAAGTGTACATGATCACTACCCGGTTTTGTTTACGCCACCCTTTGTCCAAACCGTCTCCATTGCTTTGTTGTGAACCCTGTGTTGATTTATTGACCCCAGATGAAGATTTTTGTTCCAGTTTCGCCTCATTAAAATCTGCCTTTAGCAACGCCCCCAAATGCCCACCTGCTCCCTACATCTCAACGATCCAAAAACCATTAAAGAACAATCACAAGCTTTCCCCAAATCACATAGACCCCAAATCTACCGCCCTAAAACCTGGCTCAAATCCCCACACACCCAGGTCTGAAAACCCTCAACCATGTACAAGGCCTGAAGAGACAGGACCTTTGGGATCAGAAAGAGAAAACGCACTTTGATGCCTTCAACTCTTGCAACTTTAATATCTGGGTGCATGTTGTCCAGACACTTGCTGTAAGCTATATATCAGAAAATACATGATAGAACATCAGATTTGGTTCTTGGCTTTAAAATAATCAGTCTCTTGCCCCAAGCTTCTCTTGGGAGGGGATAACATTTGTGGTGAAACAAAGGCTATAAAAATTAGGGGGAAGTAGTAGTGGTTGAAGTGCCAAAGGCTTAAAATGTATTACCGTGAATTACATTGTTCATATAGTAGCAGTATTAGTAGTAGTAGTAGTAGAAGCAGCAGCAGTAGAAGTGCAGTAGAAGTAGTAGTAGTAGTAGTAGCAGAAGCCGCAGCAGTGGTAATAGTAGTAGTAGTAGTATTATTAGTAGTAGCAGCAGTAGCAGTAGAAGCCAAAATAGCAGTAGTAGTAGTAGTAGTAATAGTAGCAGTACTAGTAATGTTAGTAGCACTTAAACAAGGAAGTAATAGTAGTAGTTACTGAAGGACTATTTTTTTTCCATTACTATAATTCTGTAAATCTCAAATATTTACACAATTCATTGAGTAGTACATATGTTTACTGGCATTGCGTTGTTGCGGACTGGAATTAATTGACTATAACCGCAGAACCGACTGGATTAAACGCTGGAGTCACTCTCTCACTCCTCGGATTAGACCTTACAGAGTTCGATTAGTCGCAGATCATAATGAATTGTCATCCATCGCTGGGCCATAGAGGATCTGTGTTCAAGAGCGCAGTGAGAAAATATCACGAGATTTCACACAAGATAAAACAAGGCGATCTGAACAAGCATCTACTCACAGATGCAGCAGTGATTTATGGGCGAAAAAGGACAACAAATGAACCAGACTAAACCAGGCCTGCGCAAAAAGGGATGCATAATGGTTGTATAGGAATCATAATTGTTTTGAAGATGTTTTGTTCTTGTGGTATTTATTCTCAATGATGACCACTCCAAGAAGTTTAAATTAAAATGTAACCAGAACTTTAAACACAAGATTGAAATCTAAACCAAAGAGCAGCTGAAAATTATAAACAGTGACTAAACCAGGAATTAAAGGTGTATTGTGCAAGGTTTCTGATGGGGGCTGATACTTGCTTGCTGCCACCAGGGTGTTATTGCTTAGCATGGCATATGCCTCAGTAGGCAATCCAATAGGTATATTTACTAAGCATAAGAATATGGAGTACTCTAAATGTAAATACAATTGCTATCATACAAACTATGGCTGAATGATATGGACACATTTTTCTCTCTCAATATTGATGTAAGATATCTCAATATGGATACGATACATTACAACAAAATGTTTGTAGTGGTTGGCTTCAGCTGTCAAAATCTATATGGTTTATGCTGTTGCTTTTTTATCATTAATACAAAGTTCTTATCTACAAATTGATTCAATGATTATTGTATCTTTCAGTTTGTTCAATACAAACACCATTTTGTTTGCTTTGAGTAGTTGATTTTCAGATTTCAGATTCTTGTCAGGTTATGCTTTTGCTCAACGTACGTGCGGTTATGTACTTTATCAAAATCATCAAAACCATCCAGTTTTCACTAGCTTGCTTTGTAAATATACTCAATGTGTAACTCTTTACTACTCAATAACCTGACTTCAGACATTGGGTCCGTTCTCCTCTCCTCACATATGACTTGTAATGCAGCAACGCATAATTGGACTCACACCAGGAAACTTGAAATCCCTTGCATAAGAACTAAACCAGCCTTTACCAGAGCAAAACCAGGTGGTGATAAACAGTGTTGTTTACTGTATACCCCCAGTTGAGCAGCTGGTGTGTGCCCTGCAGCGTCGCTCTTAACTCTCTCTGTTCTCATCTCTTCAGCTCCAGGGCCCACATTTCGGACCCCCCCACCTGTGTCAGAACCCCCACCAGAGAGCCCCCCGGGGAAACCTGGCTCCTCATTGGTTACTGTCCCCAGGTGCCTTCTGGGTACTGGCATGGACATCTAATAGTGTGAATATTTCATGCTATCAAAAACAGGGGTACCAGACCAGTGCCAAACCAGCTCTAACAGGGTGATGCTGCTTACAGGAGAATTTGTCTTCATTTGTCTGAGCGCTCAGCCTTTGGGCACAAGTTGAAATGTTCTGCTGGAGAAATGTAGCGGTATAAACAAATCAAACTGTGCCACAGCTGCTATTCCCGGTGTAATCATCTGTGAGTCAAAATTAACATTTATGGTTATGCATCAGAACAGTAATGGCTGCCAGATAATAGAGTTAAATCATTGCTTTCCTCGCTTCTTTTAGCTTCATTGAAAGATGTACCAGATCTGCATTCAAATGTTTCTAAAAATTAACTGTGAACGCAATCTATATATGTATGTATGGGGATTTTGTTTTTATTATTTCCTATTTTAATTGAGACTGAAATCAATCTTACAATAAATGTCATAAGAAAATGTTGCAGCTTTATATCTCCTGGTTCTTTTTTAGTTCAGATTGTGGGAACGTTCACAGACAAAACATGGACTAGAGAATGACGCTACTCTTTTGGGGACTTTTAGGTCCTGCTCTGAGGCTGGCATTTTCCAGTCAGACCATGAACATTTTGGTGAAATCTGTTTGTACAACACTGAATTGTGAAACAAAAAAAGGAGTTGATAACCTCCATAAAAAATGGTGTTCATAGCTTAAATAAATGAACAGAATTTGTGATTTTTTTTATCCCCAAAAGATTTCCAGGTGTGAATGTTCTACAATGCTGAGTTTGAACCACTTTCAGACATTTTTGCACCATTTGATACTGAGAACCAAGAGGAATTAATGTTCCTCTGACTAAACAGGTTCGGGGGATTACAGGGACTTGTTCGAAGCTGCTCAAAGCTAGCTTTAACAGATTTGGGAGTCTGGAGCCAAATGATGATTGGCAAACAGCCAATCAGGAGCTGCACAGGTACGTTCCTACTCACTAGATACAGCTAAATTCAGAAAATGGACAACCTAATTGGTAAGTTGTAAGGGCTCATAAGTAGATTTAGTCATCAGTAAAACTAAAACGCTAACCACCAATTTTTAAGCCCAAAATGGTGAGAGTCACACAAGGAGGAGACGTTTACTTTTCAATGTAAGTGAGCGAGTTGGAGCAAAACGTTTCCCATGAGCACTTCCCTATCAGGCATGTTAGTCCTCTCTATCTGTATACAGTCTCTGGTCTCACCTTGTGCAGTGTCCCCTGACGGTCCCCCAGGAAGGCGATGGTGAGGTTGGCCTCTGTTGCTGTGGTGACCGCAGACAGGTGTGTGCTGCAGGTGAATGTGGGCGTGGCATTGAGAGGCACCGTGCTGGCAATCGGGTTTGGTGTATGCTCCCCTCCACACGGGTAATCCACCAGAGACGCCTGAAGGAAGAAGGACGGGTTAAAGATGAACAGGACTGAAGCAGCACTAAACCAGGACTGAAACAGGACTAAACCAGGACTAAAACCTGGTACTTTATTAAATCTTCTCAGATATACCATGTTAGAAATGTATTCATCCGCGTTTGGCTAGATCAATGGATCTATAGAAAAGGCAGGGCGGGGAGGTCACTTTGCATTCAGGGCTTTGGTCTCACTGCATGTGTTTTTCAGACGGCATGAAATGTGAGTGAAGATAGCAAACTGCTACTTTGCACGCCATACACAAAAGATCATGAAAGTTTATAACAAAGACAACAAGAATAACCACAAAACCCGGCCATGTCAGAGGAGCACAAGCTGGTTACGTCAACAGTAGGAATGTAGCAATACCCCATGCAGTTATTATAGATCTACGGACAATCCTGGTTAATTCAAGTAAATGAAAATGAATAAATAAACACAAAACACTGGATTCAAAGAGCAATGTTTTTCTCAATTACTACTTGTGATTGGACTGAGCTTGACTCAAGGCGTTAATAATTTAAAATGATTCACACTTTCTCCACTAAACACTTCATTACACTGGCTAATGCAGCTTTATTTTCTCACTGAATTCTCTAGGATCAATCCGGGACTGAGAGCTGTGAGCACAAAGGGAATCAATAGAGATTAACTGGGACCAGAACAATGGAATGAAAAAAATAAAAATCTAGATAAATCAGAGTTAAGCAAGACGTTAAGGATTTTTGTGATATAACAGTTTCTATATAGAACTTTGGAATGCAAAAAAAATTTCAAAACATGATTTACAGTAGATACTCCATAACACAGTACATAATACTTTGAAGTTAATGCAGAGAGTACAAGTACTCAATTTGCTTTGACTATGTTTTGAGAATGTTTAGAATTGGAAATAAACAGGCAAAAAAAGTATGTACTTAAAATATGAAAACAGCAATATTATTAAAAAAAAGACATACATAAATAAAGTAAAACAATAAAGGCAAAAAGGAGAGGGACTGAAGCAGGACTGAACCTTGTGCTGAAGCAAGATTGAACCAGGACTAAATCAGGACTAAATAAGGTCTAACTCCGGGTACTGAAGCAGGATTAAACCAGGACTAAGACCGGTACAGAAGCAGGCCTAAAGCAGGTCTGAACCAGGACTGACCTAGGACTGAGCTATGACTGAACCAGCATTTGTTGAATTTAAGGAAACGACTCAAAATAATTAATATTAAGCTTGACGTATGTACAGTATTTGGGAAGCAGCCGTTCCAAAATACATTTAATGCACAAAGAGGAACTCCAATGGGGTTTGCAGGATGACTAACATGACAAGACTATGTTGGACTGTGACAGTGTTCTCTCCATAGATGTTTCAATAAGTCTCCATCTCCCCGATTACGTCCTGTCCTCCTGTATCACTGTGGTTCTTACTTTTCTCTCCCACTTATTTCTGACGTTCACAGCACTACTCCAAAAGTTACACATGAATGAATCTCACTGTATATTTTTCTGTCATATTGTTTGTTTCAAGGTCCACAAAGCAGCAGAAGCATTTAGACTTGTGAAAGACAGTAATAAATGCAGCGCAGATAACGCCGCCGCCGCCATTTGGAACGCACGACAACTTCCAGCTGGAGCCAGAAACAGCAGAAAGGAGATTTAATATCCCAATATCAAGTTTAGACGCCACTCACGCTCATTTGTACTTCAACACTCAATTTGTTGAGACAGTATTACATATCGTAACCGCCTTCCAACTCGTACACCGGGCCCTAATCGGTCTGCGGCCCCCCAAATAATACCAGAGACAACTAGAATAGCTCTCTGTTATTTATTTGGGGAATAGCTTGCACACATTGTACGTAATGTCAGCACATATATTCAACAAACATAACAAATTTATATATTAGACCCCGCCCCCCTGCATACCCTCGCGGCCACCAGGGCCGCGGACCACTTTGGGACATGCCGTACCTCCTATAGGAAGAATGACAGTATCTGTATTTGGTGAACTGTCAACGCAGGAAAACTTGAATAAAGTCATAATTTATTGTAGTCATCATCATTCCCGTAATAACCATTTAAAGAAATATAATGCATTTTTTTGGCCATGGAAAATGATGAGACTTTTTTCCGTTGTCCCTTCATGTTTTCAAATAATATCAATGTTTCGATAATGTCTTAAGTAGAAAAGTTCCTTGGATTAAGAGCGAAACATCGGAAAACCTGCCAACTGAAGTACAGAGGATGGGTTAGCAACCTTCCTTTGTTTTGATGTCGAAACGTCCGAAATAAAGCCGCCTGCAATTCCCTATGCTACCACCAGGAACAATTGTATTTGTGATTATAACATGTTTTAACAAATTTATATTTCAGCATTACTACTTTCTGGGCTATACTTTTGTTTTGAAAGGGAAAAAAACTGCTTGGAGTGTGATGTCACACATTACAGGTTTGAGACGGAACATGGTGAAAAGCATAATATGTCTCCTTTAAATGAATCATTGTTGTAATTATGAAATGACAAAAAGCAGGAGTCATGGCAAAATGAGGATTGTTCTTGAGTTAAAAATCATGTTGGAATCTTGGAGGAGCCTGTGATTCTCAGCCTGATGTTGAATTATATCACATTAACTGTAACATTCACTGCTCCTTTCGTTTTCCCTCTTACAGATGTGGGTCACGTATGAGGCAGATGCTGCAGATTACTTTAATCCAGTCTGGATTAGGGTCAGTGGATGTTGACCAGCTGTTAATCTATCACGTCACTTGTGATGTCATTATTGATGAAGAGTATGATGTCATCGCTCACACTTGGATTTAAATTACACAGAATTTGAACTTGTCTTTTGATTCCACATTCAAAGCCTTTTTTATAGCGGCCTCTGTGACTGTGATCATCAGATGATCCAAAAGGATTCTTCCAGGAAAATATTGACGTCACTTCAGAGAATATATATACTAAATGCAACAATAATTGCTGCTGAAACTTTGTATCTGCCTATGGTATGAAAGATTTTAACATTAATCTCCAAATGTATTGAATCGACTAAACACATTGTGGCTATGAACAAGACAAGTAAAAGGTTTGCTTTTCAGATTGATGAAATATAGTATGACATGTTTAATTTTCATAACAAAAATCCTTCTCATCTTCCATGTTTATTTACTTTTTATAAATTGCATTTAATGTGGGGCTGGTGCCATGTGTACTGGGGGGCATCTCTGGCCAGGGGTAGATAATGGATGGAAGGATGCATTTAATGTTTTTTGTGCATTGTCAATCTGTAACAGCATAAATCTGGACTATACTTGCTATTATTGAGTTGGAGACATGTTTTCTATGAACCAGCCATTCCCAGAGTCAGTAAAAAAATCTTAAGAATCTGACAGGTCTGTAATGGCTCTTCTCGTTATTTCATTTGGGGGAAATAGCCTCTGCTATGTAAATGACGCACCCCATTTTGTAATACAAAAATAATTATAATTTGATTATTTAGTCAAATAATGAACACAAATATTTTGATTTTACATACTAAATATTATTAATTTAACAAACAATAATTATATAAAAATATATATATATATATATTATGACCCCCTGCAATACCCCCAGGGGGCCGCGGACCCCACTTTGGGAGACACTGCTATAAACCATACAACCCTACAGTTAGAAAAGCTTTTATTGATTGAATTAGTTTAGCTGACCAAAGCACAACATGACTTCTTTACTAACCACATATAAGACTGAATCCTACGTTCACACGTTTACACTGCCTTTGAAGTGGCCTCCGGTTCCCTTCAGGCAAAATACAGTGTTTCTGGAGATGTGAAAGCACATGTTTTTCTGTAATAAACTCTAAAAGGATAAGTGTGAAAGTGCCCCTGATTTACTTTGGTCAAGATAGATTTAGGATTTAAGATATAGAGGTGAAAGTCAGAGGCAAATCCTTAACACGCAGAAGAAATATGGGGTACGACAATATTTAATGCCACTATTTCTAATGGTGCCATTAGTCCAATTCTGTCAATTGTAAAGCTTTAAAGGCCTAAATTTACTAGATACAATTGAAGATATTGCTGTGGCTGGTGTGTCCTTTACCTTGGGCAGTTTGAGGCATTTGGATGACACCTGGTACTCGATGTAGGCTTCTTCCTGTCCGCCACTTCCTCTTCCTGCTTGGGTGTAGCACACTTCCTGCGCACGGCGCATCATGGCGTCCAACTGCTCCATGCCGTACACGCACAAAGCAGATTGGCTTGTGGCCATCGGCGTCGAGGCCTGGCCTGCTGACATCACCACGAAGAGGGCGGGACTTCCTGTGTGGTTCCCAAGCCACGCCCCCTGCCCCAGATTGTAGGAGCCCTCGCACAACAGCGGCACCTCCACGTAAGAATAAAAGTTGCGGTCGGAAAGGCACAGTCTGGACACGTATGTCCGGTATTCTTTCTTATGCCACATGTCACGTCTGGAAAACAGGAAATAAACGTGCTTCCCGTGCACAAACGCTTTCACAAAATGGTTGTTGTATTCCGAGTAACTCCCGACAACGAGCTTTCCCAGTTCTTCTTCTTGGGAGAACATTCGCCGTGGAGGGAGAACTGGGGATAAGCGTCTCGTGGTGATTGGTGGAATGTCCCCAGGTCCTTTGGTGTAGCCTCGTCCAACCAGCATCAAGCGCATTCTGGCACCGTCTCTTCCGCCAGCAGGCCCCGCCCCCTCGGGAGTGACAACCACAGCAACAGTGGAGATTCGAGGGTCGTTAGCAGCGACGTACTGAGTGTCGACCGGGTTTGTTGTGCGGTACAGCAGCTCGGTGATGTTAGACAGACTCCTGGGAAAGACAGATTGTAGTTGGGGATTAGGGCTCATGATGCAGTAACGATGGTTTGTTAAAGATAAATTAAGGGACATTTTTAATTCAAGTCTAAATCAGCCTGGTAGCCATTTTGTCCATTCTTGTAAGCAAATATTTACACAAAAGAACAACTGCTGTTTATTTCTGGACCAGTCATAGTCCTTTAAAGCTGGGTTATCTGACTTTTTATTATCAGAAGTAATACATTTTATTTGTCCAACAGAAAGAGTCTTGAAAGTAAGTAAAATGTATTGAACAAATCAGACCACAACATGCATTTCTCTCTCACACACACTTTTCTGTTTGAAAAAGAAACTAAAAAGCAACTCTAGATATTGTGAGGGAACAATATTGTAACATTGTTAAAAACTCATAAAAGATACATTTGCATGATACGTGTTCTTTAAGATTGTTCTTGTGCTATAATTTTGATGTGACCTATAAAACCAGCAGCTGTTTCTAAGCACATGGTTAAGGACGATTGGGGAACATGGATGGATAACAGAGTCAATAGCATAATCAATGATGTAATGAAGTGTTTCCAGACAGTGGTGACTCAGCTCCTGATGATATTAGAGGTGCTGTAAAGTCTAACAGGTTTAAAAGCTTTGATCTGTCAGTGTTAGGGACGCCTCAGTGCAGTGAATGAGAACTAATGAACCAGGCTAATGTAAGTACAAGAGGAGGGGACTGTCCTACATGCACATGGATAACAGCCATCAGACATGTTTACAGTGTTTCAGGCCTGTTTCGTTGTCTTCTGCATTGAGGGCGGTTTCAATCTCTAACTTCACTCACTATTATCGCTCAGGCGAATTGGTACAATTGGACATTGCTTTTATTAGGTTGGTTTAGAATCGTAAATCTCAATTTTGATCAATAAAGATGTTTTTAAAAAACAGAAAAAGAAAGGAAGAACAATAACCTTTCAAAAACTGGGTGTCATTCATAGCCTGTTGATCTCAATTCAATACGATTCGATGTAATATATTTCTAAACGATTCAATTGGCCGCCTACATAATGCTCCGCCTCATTTTAACAAGAGTACATTATTGGTGCATTTATCTTCCACTCATTGTTGAAAAAAATCTTATGCTTCTGTTTGCAATGTGAAGGTCTCTAACTAAAACTATAAATATTAAATTAACAATTGAAATACAAAAGTAAATACTGGAAAATTGGTTAAAAAAATCAATATTGCTAAAAAAATAATAATAATTGATCAATACAAAAAATGCATTCTCTAACACGCCCCAACAGACCATTATTGAAAAACAAACAAGTATGTTTATTCAGGCATCTGGAGTATGCAGCAGAAGGTCCTAATCACACACCAAGAATTGCTAATTAATTGTGAAATTGTTGGCCTTTTGCAAATCACTGGTCATTTGTGAGTGAATGAGGTGAGGATTCCACACAATGACTGTGGCTCTGCAGTCGGTCAGCGGAGGAGAGACAGCAATAGAGTCAAGCTATGACCTAGATTTGTGTCCAAGAATCATTTGGAATCGTCCTGGAGATTTTGACAATGGCGTCATCATTTCAGCGAGTGTCAGTGGGGAGAATATTCAGCAAAATGCCTCCGAGTCTGTATTAGGTTGTTCCAACTTTATCAATTAACATAATAGACACAGGGAATCAAAGAAGTAAATGTAAAATAAATGTCATTTCAAATTGATTATGAATATTATGAGACATCCATGGGACATATAGTTAATTGTCAGATCCTAAATTAAGTCAGAAATTAAAAGAATAGCTGTCTGTATTTTTGTTCTTTATGCAAGTCCGGTCTTTTGGTGTCTGTCTATGTTTGTTTTTAGTGTGGACCTAGAGTCTGAATGAAGAAATGACAACGATGATGATGACGATGATTAGTTGGTAATAATATCCCATTCGTTTTAAGACATTTCTCACAAGTCCCAGATTGAACCTGGAAAATTCTATGAGAAAATATGCAACTGCTTTGATTCTTGCGTGACCATAATGTGAGAAGTTGCTCCATAAGTTGCCCTTAGGTGCACAAAACATACAGACCATGCTTTATGGCTGTAAACATGGCACCAGTTTGAATCATTGCAATGCACTTGCAGGACATTTAAGGACTTTGTGATACTGGAGCCAGGACTTTCTTGACCAAATTATTTCTGCAAAGAGGATTAAGAAAGGAGAGGGCAAACACTTTGGCCATGGCAGTTTGAGGAGTCTGTCCTGGGACCTGACGTAAGCTACTTCACTGACACTGATTTGTTTTTGTTTTCTCAAAAACATTGTGCCTACACCTTGGCTAAACATTCTGGACTTTACCGAGGTCAGAAGAATGAGAGTTCAAACTGAGGCCCTGTTTAGACGGAGACGCTGAGAAGACGCTGCAAAGCAATCTGCAAAAACGACCAGGCTCCTTATTCGAAGTGCACAGTGTCTACAGGACGGCCAAAAACTAGCGCCCGGCCAGTAGGGTACAGTGGAACTTTACAACTGCGCGAACCCCAGCAGTATAATCACTTTCTAAACAATCTCCTCGTCAGGCCACCGCAAAGACTTGAAAGAATGCACCTCATCCTTCTGCATTTAACAGCAGCTGCAAAGGAAACTGAAACTAGAGCTTTTTGTGGTTTCATTTGAACGGACAAAGTAGAATCTCCTCTGTGTAGCGGATAAGGGTTTTATACATGCGATATGAATGTGGCATACAAAAAAAGACAAAATGTAAGCTAAAAGAACTTTCATTTTGGTTTACAATATGCTGTCCACCTTCTGATAGCTACTAGGCATTATTGAAGACTAAAAGCTGTGGTACATAACTTTATTTTTTACAGAAATTATCTTGTAAAAGTAAAATGTGTACAAATCAGAGCTGATGCTGTCTTCGCCTTATTTGAAAACATGTTACCTTTACCATTCTTGTAAGAAAGAGCCTGAAGAGCCACTATTTGAAACATTGGGCTGAGAGCCGCTTTGGGAAATTTCACTCTTCTGTCGAAAAGCTGTGACAGAGGCCAAACATACAGGCATGTGGAAACTAGAGATAAAACCAAACCTGTATTAATGGAAGAACGAGTTAAATAGATTTTATTACAGTTCCACTTTTTTTTGTTTGAAAGTTAGGTACCCTGGCTTTTAGAGAACACTTTTTCAAGTCAAGATGGGAACCAAAGAAGTGCTTCCATATTTAAAAATATTTGAGGGATTTCAATTACCAAAGTTGCAGAATTGAGAATGTTACCGACTCTCACCTCTTTTCACAGATGCCCTGAAAGAGCGTCCCACACACGATGATGCTGCCTGACTCCGCCCCCTGCCCCTGTGACTCCGCCTCCTCCAGCAGCAGCAGCTTGTTGTAGTTGTGGGTGGGCGTGGCCGAGGAGCAGTCTTTGGCCACGATGGGGGGCAGGCAGTCGGGCGAGTCAAGCTGTGGTCCGGTCCTGACATGAGCCGTGACTTGGAGCTCAGAGTTCAGCTGGTACAGGTGGTCCACTCCCCCCACGTACAGCGCTCCGGAGCGGGGGTCCAGCAGCAGGTGAGACAGGGGCGTGCCCTCCAAGTCCACTCCCCGCGGGGCAGAGGAGGAGGTGGAGGAGGATGTGGGGGGGAGGAGGAAGAGGAGGAGGAGAGGAGGGAGAGAGGAGGCCAACATGGCAGCTCCTCTTCACCTGCAACAGAGACAGAGGACAGGCACAATGTTAGATGTAGCTATAACAGACATAACATACATTTTAGTAAAAGTTATGAATTGTTATGATAGATACATAAATAAATTAAATTGACCACCAGTAGCCGACATTATTTTGTTGTGTGTTATGGAGGCTGTAGAATATTATGATCACGGACCGATTTAATTTGTGTCTGAAATAAAGATTACTAATAAAATCCCAATTATCCTATTTATTGTCGCAGCTTTAGAACCAATATACAGGGAAACGTCAACAATATCACTGAGTCGAACATGCAATCCATCCCTCATGTAGGAATATATAATACAAGCACAACTCCCCAGGCCTTCTTCTTGTCTAATGCAGTTTATTCTATAGTCAAGTCCAGGGTTCTGGTCCTGGATTTGTCCTTGTTTAGTGCTGGTTTATAGACTAAACTTGTCTTGAGCAATAATGTCTTTAGTTTCCGTCTCCACTTGAGAATAAATCCATAAAAACACCATCCTAGAGTTGAAACCGATCCATCCCCAGAGGAATTTGACTGATGCTGAAGTTGGAGGCAGTTGCTGTGGTTACGCTCCGAGGCTGTTACTGCAGAGATGGACCACTACACCACCACCACCATTACAGTGAAGCACCTATTAATACACTCAATAAACAGTACTCTGAGGCAAATTAGAGGGAAATAGACGTAATTACAATTAAGAGATTAAGCCAGGGAATGTAAAGAACCAAACCAGGACTAAAATCAGACTGAAAACAAGGACTAAACCAGGACTCACACTTGCTGTTTTGTTATATCTCTGCTTGCAAAGGGTAACTGCATCCTACCTCCATACTAAATATATAGTAAAACATTTGACAGGCGTCTCAATACAACTGTTCTACAATACATGTTATCGCTATGTGTTTTGTGCAGCCGGCTATAGTGTGTTGAGAATGTGTTCCATTCAGCGCCGCTTTCAATAATTCATAAAGCAGGAGTCAGCACATTCCACAGGCTTCGCATACAACAAGTCCAATAAACATACGTATAAGAGCAGGAAAATTCATCTTTCACAGCAAAACCAGGCAATATCATACAATATATCACAATTGGCTCAGATACCTCAACAACTGGATACACAAAACCAGACCAAGTATCAAACTTTGTACTGCGTTGGTTAACTTTAGAATCAGTGAAACAAGAAGAATATTTCACTCATAAATTTTGTTTATTTGACCAAAATACATTCAAGTTTACAGTCAAGCATGCCCATTATGTATTTTTGCATATTTTTGTGTGCTCCCTGTGTGCTCTTACTACTGTCCTGTATGTGCGCTGCAACATCGAAATTTCCCCACTTTGTGGGACGAATAAAGGAACTCTTATCTAATCTTATCATGAGAAAGGGATATATTTTGTTACTTAACTGAAACATAAAAAGATACAATTTACTTTTGTTGTAAACACCTTTTCAAACTAATTTTAAGACTTAATTCTAATGATAGGTTACTGACTCCCTGTTTACAAAGACAGACCATATATATATCATTTTTTTATTGTTATAGTTGTAAAACAAAGTAAACAGGATGTAAATAAAGGGTCAAAACACAGTGTAGAAAAAGAGGCAACACTTATAAAACATTGGTTTCATGCTCAAACACGTCCTCATAAAAGAGAAAACAAAACGTAGTTGTCTACAAATACACATTTGTTCAAAGAGCAAATCTACGCCTAAAGTTTTCCTGCTGGTTCCTGGCTGATTCAGATGCGTCAAGATGAAACAAGTCTCTAGCAGTGTTTACTGAGAGGTCTACATTTAGCCTGAGGGATGTCACCAGTCAGGACGCAACAGGTTCAACTGTAATCTAAGTATTTATGTCCCAGAGCAGATTACGCCTGTGATAGTGAACAGTCAAGATACAACATGTATAACAGGGATTACAATAGCCCCATAGATGTGTTAATTTTACATGCCCTGCTTATTTTTGAGTGGATTAGTATAATATACTGTACACCATGTTTTGTTTCAGACTGTTTTGGAGTGCATTATTGACTGATCTTGTCCCGCCTTAGTTTTCAAATAATTCTGGCTAAATAATAAAAACGTGATTTGATTTTTAAATCTCCTATGCTGGGCACATCTCCACCGCAGCAGTGCATGCTGGGTATAACTCCGGCCTCGGAACACACTGAAAGGAGAGCACTATTTCCATGGTAATATTCAGTACAAACAGACCACCGCAAAGAAGTACGGCCAGTAGGAGAAGAGGAAAGCCGGTGAAATGGGACTGAAGTTTGGCTAAATTGTTGAAACCAGGTCTGAACCGGGATCTGAACATTGCTGTGACCGTGGAGAGGTGATGAAGGTAAAAGTGTCAATTTAACGCCTTATTAGTTCTCCCTACTCGAAAAGTTTCAAGGGATGCTCAAGACAATTCTACTCAAACAAGAACCTTTCTACAGAAGCTAACTTTGGGGTAAAGAAATACATGGTTAATTTTGTTTAACACATTCAAATATGATGTTTTAATTAAATTTGGACTGGCATAAAAGAACTTCTGCAAAACAATTATTCTAATATTCTAAACTGACTCAAAGAAGGCTGCGTATTAGTCCAACATGAACTGTACTAACGAGAAACAAAAAGGAAAATATTGTTTGTACTGGATGGATTGGATGTTTGATCTTTCCTTCTTCATAAAAACTCAAAAAACTAAGATCAAAACTAAAAAGTTGAGGTCAATTAGCTTGATTTGAGACTAATCGTTTAATGTATTGGGTTAATCCAGGCTTAGTCTTCGAATCAAAATTGGTTTAGTCCCAATTTAATCCAGACTCACAATAGTCAAGTATAGTATCTGTCTTACTTTGGCCTTTGCTGTAGCATATTGTGAGTCCTGTATAATGCTAAATTACATTCTATTTCAATCCCGGGCTTCTGTAGATTGTAGACTGGCTTTGAAGTCCCTAAACAGTCATTATAATTCACAATAATGAATTTAAAAAACCTCACACAACTGTATATGGATAGTATATGTATTGAAATAACCTGTCTTCTTGCCCTTGTGTTGCACCTCGGAGAGCAGAGCGGGGTGAGCGTATGCTAATAACTTCCAGGGGCTTCATTAATATTCATGAGTGGTTATTGGAAATGCGAGGGGCAGATGAAAGAGCCAGAGACGCCCCGGGACAGGCAGCGATGTACCATTCAAATACATTCACTCCTCTGTCTGTCTGTGTCAGGAAAAAGGGAAAGACCAGGAAGAGGAGAGCGACAGTCCAAATATGGTCGCTTCTTCCTCAAGTTGCTGAAATACAATGGAACCTAAAGTAACTCCAAATAGTCAGAAATGAGCTGACCTGGATTCATGTCCGTTGTAATGGAGTAACTTTGATTCTGTTCGTTCTGGCTTACACTCTTCGTCAAATGTGTTAAAAATCAGATAGTAAAGCTGAGGTGTGTAACTTTCAAAACACACACAGCAAAGAATGATATAATTTATTATTGACCACGTATTATGTATTCTATTTAACCAGAAAAGTCCAACTGAGATTTCACAATGTCTTTTTCAGGGGAGTCCAGGGCAGCTATGTTTTTAGAGGTAGGGGAAACCAGAACACCTGAAGAAAACCTACGCAGACATGGGCAGAACATGCAAACTCAACAAGTCTCAACAATTGCAAAGTGCTTTGGTCTTGGTCTGTAAAATGCGCTATTTAAATAAAGATGACTTACTTACTTACTCCATTCAGAAAGGCCCTGTTCTGACCGGGATTCAAACCAAGGACCACTCAGCCTCTAAATCCTGGTAACTGGTTCCATGGCTCTAAAATCTTTTCAAAACTCTTCAAACAAACTATTTACGAAACAAAAAAAGATCAGTAAACTAGCTTTAATTATTCTTCTACGATCTAAACAAGTAAATGATTAGCTGAAATATTAATTAAACTAATCGATTACTCCAATATTAAATAGCTGCAGTCCGAAATACACATTAATGACATTATTCTAGCTTTAGTATCTAGTCCTTGACAACAGTTTAATTCCTGTTTGGGTTCATGCTCAGTCCCATTGCATATTTTACAAAACCTTATTATTTGTCAAATTGTCCCCTTTTCAATACATACCAGGAATTTGTTACTTTATATTTCTGTACAAACTCCCTAAAATCCCTCCAGAGCACACCATGCTTAATCTTCCTGATCTGTGAGGTTTCTCCATTGGAAAAGTCAAAGTAAATCGTTATAAAGAGATAAATGTGGCGATTATTGATATTTGCTGTGCCATTACCAGTCTGTATGCGCCGTTTTCTCTGTATAAAGACTTCAGTTTGTCACACTTGTTTCACATCTCTCTTTCTCTCTCTTCCCGCTCTATCTGGAGTCACACCTGACAGGATTCTCATCAGCACTGCATCACTAATCTCTGCTTCCGACATGTGAAAACAGACACAACTTCTACCACTTTCCCCAGAACAATCCGACACCGAAAACTACTCTACAACCATGTGAGGGTAGCAAAAACACTGAAGCAGACGCTAAAGCCATTAAAACATACACACTTTGACCTTTCCTGACGATTTATAACACTCAGTACAATATCAGAAGGCCACAAGCGACATTCAAGAAGATAATTGGCTATTTTATTATTATTTATTTTATCCATAATCTCTATTCTGTTGTCTAACTGTCTGTTTTTTTTAATGTACATGCCTTATCTGTTTATATGGATGTGTTTTCTGCTGCTGGACACCTGAATTTGTCCTACGGGGATCTATAAAGTATCTATCTATCTATCTATCTATCTTAAGACACTGGATTTTTGAAGTTTCCAGGAAATGTAAGGTGCTATATAAAGCCGTTTACTGACAACTTTTATATTTCATAATACTGACACAGTGATAGAATAGGTACTGTTCTAATTCAAATAAAGAATAAAAAATGAACAAAAAGGAAAAAAAATAGACAGTTTCTAAGACAACGCAGTCAAGAATCCAT